TAATGGGTTCAGTGGTAAACCGCATGGAAGATACTGTACGTGAGACTCCAGACTCGATACAAAAGGTCTGTGCTGATGTTGAAGCGTTTAGTAGAATCTGTTCTGTTATTTCATCATTTTGGGTGTGTTCAAAAATAGCCAGATTCTCTTAGTATTACTTCAAAACCCAAACAACCCTGGATAGTTACATTTCTCTTCTATTGTTTGCTGGTGGCCTTCACTACAAAGTCAAGGATGTGGAACTTTTCAGGAAAATGGGTGATTTTATCTGAGAATAAATAAACCGTCCCAAAATACTCAGTTGGGGAAAGGAAGAGGATGTGGCCCTGGTGTTTGCTTTGCTCCATTATGGGGACAGGAATCACCATAGCCCTTGTGTCTACTCCATTTCACATGCCAACAAAAAGTAACTCAGCAAATTTAAAAAAAACGCTACAATGATTGAGCTAATGTGCCTTTAAAACTATAGGAAGCAATGCTCGTCCTTCTATTATTACACTATTGACATGTGACTTAAGTTTATGTCTTTTCCACGAGTCCATTCCTGACATGACTTCTATTATGTAACCCTCAAGTTCCCTAAACGTCTTTCATAGCTTCACTTTTACGGCGTGTATGGTTCTCTTAATAGCAGAGTCTAAATAAGTTTAATTACCTGGCATATTTTGGCAGTAGACTTCCGAAGGCCAACCTCATGTGTCTCAAAAGCCTTTAACATAAATAATTATTAGAATATTTAGCTTTACTTTTACTCTCTCCATTTTCTCCTGTTTTGGAAAGTTTTATCTTCTCGTTTAAAGACCTTATCCTTTTTTTTTATTTTCACAAGGTTTGCCCTCTCACATCAGCAGGAAACAGCCACTTCCTATTGTGTGTTTCAATGGACTTTTACAATGTGTTTTATCTGAGGTCTTGCCACCTTTAACTGGCCAAACATGATGTCATTTTGAACAAACTTGGATCTGGGATATGCCTCCTTGGAAACTCGGAGTGAACTTTGGTCTCTGACTGAAGCCAGGTGGTTCTTCTGTTGTGAGCAGCAGTTAAAAGAAAGAGAAAGGGGAAACTCTCTCTCACCCAGATCCTTCCTTGGGCTTCTTTGATGTTCCTAATTTGGCTCCACCCACCACTTGCTGCTCTAACAGCTTGGGCCGCTGTGCAGATATGGGGGAAAGTATTCAGGGGTTATCGTTGGGCACTTTGGGAGCAGATGTTTGGACTATACTTTGTCATTTTAGCTGGAGACCCTTATCATTTACGTAATACAGTTGATTTACTCTCCATGGTTACTATTGCAAATAACAGAAAGCACTGAGTCTTTCCTGAAGTTGTACAGTGACGCAATTGCAGCAAAGATTAGAAGCGATATGACCTGTGTTTTTGTTATTGTTCGACAGCCACGTCTACTACCATTGAGTCGACTCTTTTTACCTGTAACTCCACCTGCTGCTGCTGCTGCTGTTGTTGTAGTTGTTGTAGGAATGCACCAATACATTTTTTTTCCCCTATATAACAAATACCAGTATAAGTTTTTTACATTTAGTACTTGCCGATATAAATACCTACACCAGGCTTTTTTTTACATAGCATGTATAACGGCAATAAGAATTTTTTTTTATATATAATTTTTTGTACTGTAAATTGTAATGAATTTGCAAATGACAAAGCATGACAAAGGCTAAGAATAGGAATACATCCATTGTATGAATTCGTATTGTCACATTTAAAAAGATCGCCATAATTGTGAAATCGCTACAATTCTTTTATTGTCAGTTTGGTGGGAAATGGATTAAACATTCTAATATTGTGTGTGAGCTTCTTCCAGTAAATAGTGATCTACAGTGACTTTCATTAAAATCACATCCAAAGAGATGGTGGAGGAGGCACAGGTCACAGTCTGTAACCATGACCTGGGATGTTGTAGAGACGTTGGTGTTCAGCTTGACCTCAGGACTGGTCTGTAAATGTTTCTACAGAATGGGGCCGGAGAGGCTGTACTTCTTTTGCCAGAAGCTCCTGGAGATGTTCGATCAGACGTCAACTCCAATAGTTTGTTGACTGCTGCTCTGTGTATGTGTTGTCAGTGAACTATACAGATTGTAGTACGTCTTGACTAGGGTTGCCAAGATTAACCGGTTTTATGATCATCGCAATTATAAAAGCTTGCAGTAGGTTAACCATAAGGATTTTAGATGGCACGGGGTAACGCTGGTACCTCTTGCGCGTGGAGCAGTACAGTTGACTGTAATCCAGTACGGGCCGCTGCACACAAAGCAGACTCACCGGTAAATTGAAGATGGCAGGACAAGCTCCCCCAGAGTTCTATCCACCGAAAAAACGTCTTAAGTCAGCAGTGTGGGATCACTTTGGGAATCCAAAAGATGAATAAGGTGTTGTTGTCGCTGATGGAATTCCAACGTGCAAAGCCTGTCGTCGGATCCGCTCTTAAAGAGACAGTAGCATGTATCCTTAGTCAACAAAACAACCACTACAAAACATTCAGGCTGTATAAATTCCTGCATTTAAAAAAAAATATATATTTCAAAGACAAAAACAAGCAATCAGAGTTGATGTCAATAATTGTGAATATTCTTAAAATTGCAATATTTTCTCTCACATAATTGTGACTCAACAATTTGAAATTGTGGCAACCCTACTCTTGATATGCACTGAAAAAAACGGAACCAATCTTTCGCCTGAAGCACAGCGTTTACTGCCCACAGCTGTCACACTCCAGGTCCTTTGTCTATTGTTTAGTTCTAGTAAAGCTGGGAATCACTGGGTCCTCATGATACATTAGCGATACATGGCCCACGATACCAATAATATCACGATATGGTGATACTGTAATTATTAATATGTAGCTCATATAATTGCCAGAAAAATCACAATGTCATGTTCCATCCACACAGAATCCAATCATGTGGTTATTGTTGTCTATTTACAGTATAAATGTTTTACATTATTGACATTTTTTTCGGATTAATTGATACAAATTGTTTTTTGGGTTCAATGTTTAGATGGAAATAAAATTATTTATTTTTTGGTGTAATTTGGCTTAAAAATGAGCCATAACATGCCATGATTGCACGCATGAAGTTCCTTTTATTGGCATGAACCCATTCATTTAAATAGGTGCAAGTGGTTAAAAAAATCAATACTTAGTTATGGCACATACGATATTGAATGTGAGACAAAATGACCCAATATTTTGCCAAACCCATAAGCTCTTTGAGCTGATTGAGCGGCACTTGTGGGCAGAGAGATGTTACATTTACGTTGAACTGAAGCTGTTGGATAAATGTGTCAGAGCTCTTCAGAGTCTGACGATGCAGTTTTACAAGTTCTGCACAGATTACTGCTTGGTTTTACACACAGTAAGCCTCTAAATCCCTCTTTACATCAAGGATGGAGATGGGAATCATGTGTGAGCAAAGGATCAACCAAAGTAGTAAATTAATTTCACTCAAATGAATGGACTGTATTCAAAGACCTTTGTTAATTAATAAAAACCTAGTTTCTCCCTCATCCTCCGCTGCTGCAGCTCACGATGCTGAATGTAGTCCACTGTGTCAAGCTCTACTGAAATATTAACATAACAGCAGCTTGCAGAAATGTGTGTCTGGCTATTTATGGACCATTCAGTTCAATAGGAAAGAATTTGTTGGAAAATATTATGAATTGTTTCAATATTCCAATACTACTCCTCATTTCTTCTTTTTTATTGCTGAAAAGACTTCAATGTACAAACAGTTTAGTGCCATGTGAGTAAGCACAGCTGCTGCCAGCAGCATGTGTCACTGGAGGCTCCGGCTCCGGCTCCGAGAAGCGAGATGGGAAATGTAGGCAGAGAGAAAGTTGAATAGAATTAAATGTTGCAAAAAGAACTCTCCAGCTTTTTTTCATTTTGAATTTTATTTTGTCAATGGCATGCTGTTCTTGTCTATGTGTCAGAAATCACTGAAGAAAAAACATAATGGTATTCTTTAATTTCATGTGCATTGTCAATGTTTGTGACTCTTCATCCACGACACAGTAAATCCATGTTTATATCCATGTTTATATCCATGTTTATATCCATGTTTATATCCATGTATATATCCATGTTTATGTCCATGTTTATATCCATGTTTATATCCATGTTTATGTCCATGTTTATATCCATGTTTATGTCCATGTTTATATCCATGTTTATATCCATGTTTATGTCCATGTTTATATCCATGTTTATGGCCATGTTTATATCCATGTTTATATCCATGTTTATATCCATGTTTATATCTATGTTTATATCCATGTTTATATCCATGTTTATATCCATGTTTATATCCATGTTTATATCCATGTTTATATCTATGTTTATATCCATGTTTATATCCATGTTTATATCCATGTTTATATCCATGTTTATATCCATGCAACAATCACTTGACCTACATTGTTTTCCCTAAATCTTTTTTTCTTCCCGTAATTCTTGAGACTCATATGAACTAAATAAGCACTCAGCCATATTGCGGTGAACCAAATCCAGAGCCCACACTCCCCCTGGACCGACTACTTAATCATTTATTACGCTCCCCAAATTTCACCAACATTAACATTTTAATGAGTGCCACAATCAAAACTATGCAAATAAGGGAACATTATTAGACGACACTAGACACTGGCTATAGAAGAGCAGCTGCTTATATATATAACCCATCTTTCATCCCCCACTCTCTCTCTCTCTGTCTCTCTCTCTGTCTCTCCCCCTCTCTCTCTGTCTCTCTCTCTGTCTCTCTCTCTGTCTCTCCCCCTCTCTCTCTGTCTCTCTCTCTGTCGCGTGCTGATCGAGGTAATTCTAGCAGAGCGCTTCACTCTCCATCTCGCTGCCTCTAGCCCTCTGTGGATGCTGCAAACTTGTTATTCGCCATGGACAGTTGAACTGAGAGCTCCAGACCGCCGGCGGTGATGGGGAGGGGGGTATCCTGGCTGACTGATGCCCAAATGCAGCAGCGGTGATGGGGTGCACCGCCAGCACCGTGGTGGTGGACGGGTTTCGGACCGTGCTGGAGAGGAACTGTAGCGTATACATGTGTAAGGAGGCAGCAGAGCCGGGCGCACAGTCCCAGGCAGAGAGGGCGCTGAGCCGCAGGGAGTCCAGGGTCCTGCCAGCGCCAAGGGTCCTCAAGGTGGGTTTGAGAGGACGGATAAAGTTATTGACTGATTGCTTCTGCTATTGCACTTTGGGTTTGGGTTTTTGTGAGTTTTTATTGACAAGGTAGCACTTTATTGACCTCACAGTGGAGAAATATACATGCAAATATGAAAGCAGTGACAATTTTACATGAATGAGATGCAAAATATGTTGTTGTGAGCCAGAGATTATATTATTTTCATGACTGATGATGGGGTATAGTTAGGTGTGTGCTAAAAATCTATTCTTTGATACATTTAGATATGTTTACATTTCATATATAATCTAATACATGACACAAGCATTTTTATATCCTTTTTGATATTTCTAAAATACAGACAGTATGTATCTTTTGTATTTATTTGATATATGGATATGTAGTAATTGCCAGAGACCATACATTGCAAAAGCAGGAGTTTTTTTCCAACTATTAATCTTCAATAAATACGATATAAAGGACCTATAATGTTGGATTTTTAAATTGGATTTTTTAAATAGTACAGAGCGTGCAGAAAGTCAAACCCAAACCTTTTGTTTTGTACTGAATAAAATTGAATTTTTTTTTATGGTATTGAATTACAGGATACCCAGCCCTAGGTTATGTATAGTCATTTTCATTCACTTTAAAGTGCTCAACTATCGGTATTTGTTAATCTCACTACTTGTTGTACTTTTGTATTCTTTTATTTTAGCCATTTTTTCTTCATATTTTTGGTTTATTTTTTACTATGATGACTTGATTACTACTATGATTATTTTTCTGCATCAACACGACACTAAACCTCTTCCTCCTCCTGCTCATGCTAGTCCTGATAGTCTGTCATGTTTTACTGTAGAATGTAGGGCAGTAGGAGAGCTGCCAGGCAGATCTTCCCTCTTCTGCTGCAATGGGTTAAATCGGTGTGTGTGTGTGTCATCATGTATGTGTCTGTGTGCATGTGTGTGTGTGTGTTAATTTGCATGTGTGTGTGTGTGTGTTGGTAACAGTGAGCTCCGTCTCTGCTCTGAATCAATCACGCCTCTTCATACGTACAGTGGGCGCCGTCCCAGCTTGCCGTCCCGCTCTGTTGTGTGTTTACCATGCGTTTCTCATCAGAGCGGCTGTAGTGTTCTGCAGGGACAGTGGCCAAACGTGGGCAAACGAAGGGAATTGGGTCAAGGGCATGCTGGTCGCTTCCCTTTGGCCTCTGGGATGGTCTTATGTTGATGACTGGGCCGGGAGCGCTAATCCACACTCGGCATTTGCTGTCCAAGATCAAGAGGGCAATAGTACTTTTTTTTTCTCTCTGCTTAATGTGCAGTGGGTCATTCTGTTCTGTAAGCCTCATTCATACAGACCTTTCCAGCAAATAGAGTAGAGTGGTAGAAAATCAGATATTAATATTACTGAACTTCTCCATTGTTAGATCATTAAAGTATATCTTATCTTGATTAATACTTAAACTAGTAACAAAACTAGATACTAATTTGAGCAAGTATACTAAATAAAAATACATTAACACGACACAAGCATTTTTTGATACTTTTGTTAAGAAGAGCTAAACGCTCCTAACATGTGGCCCTATAAAAGATATTATTATTTGGACATGAAGAATAGTTTATTGTCCAAAATGAGCGGATACATAATCATGGTGCACCATGGTTAACACCAGGACTCGCAGAATTCTGGAACTAATAGAACTCCCAGACCCAGTGCAGTCATTTTGACGACTCCCATTCAGTTTAATACAATTCTGAAAGTTTTAGATTTTCCACTATTAAGATTTAGTAATTAATATGGTTTTTAGCTTTAAAACATGCTAAAACTGGTTAATATAAATGAAATACAGAAATTCTAACTGCCGCAAGTAAACAGTGTGTTGCTATGGTATCTAGCACTGAGTTTGCTCTGGACCAGTGCAGGATCAAGATCATTTCATAAACATGAAACCATGTCGATTCAGAAAAAGTCAGAAAGTTATGAAGATAAAAAACGTACATAACCGGAGTAAATACACTTTGAAATATAGTATCACGATGACACTAATGTAGTCAAAATGCTGAACTACATGTTTTTATTCTGTGCGGTGTCCACACATTGCTGGTCGCCTCACCTCAGTCCCCCTCTTGGGTAGTGGCTGAAGTGAGGCTGCTTATCTACCACCTTCACACACTAGAATCTAGATTCTTATCAAGGTGGGTGAAGTGTGTTGTCTGCAGACTTTTTATTTTGGATCTAGTCTCATGAACATTTTTGGAAACACAAGCTGACAGTTTAACTGAAGTGCCTCTTGAGTTTCTCAGTGAGGTGCTCATAAAGGAGAAGAGCTGATAAGAATTTGGATCAAGATGAAAGCAAGAAGTTCCAACAAAGGATAACCAAAGGATTTCCCATTTATGTTCTGACAGAAAACATTGTTACTACTACTACGAAACTATGTTTTTATGAATGGTTGAGAGATCATGCAAGAATGTACATTTCCCTTTGACATATCTGCATACCACACTGTAATGACTGATTTACTTATTTATATATTGTTTATACTGCACAGGCTTCCTGTGTCTCAGAGTCAGCTCTGCTTGTGTACAAGTCAACCGACATGTTAGTCCCATATGAATCAACTCGGACTCTGACTCTGATGAGCACAGGGACTGGCCTCCTGCTGGTGCCCAGTGTCAGAACTAAACATGGAGAGGCGGCATTTCAGATTCGTGCTGCTAACAATCTTCCTGGAAATGTGAGACAGGCTTCTTCTCTGACGATGTTCAAATCCAGGTTAAAACAGTTCTGTTTAGCTGTGCATACAACTGAGGGATTTTAGCTTTACTCTTTTTAACTTATTTATGCCTTGTCTGACTATGTCTCTATCTTTTTTTCTTCAGCACTTTGAGTTGCCTTGTGTATGAATTGTGAAATACTAATAATCTTGCCTTGCTTTGCCTTTATTTACCAACACAAACAATAAAGGAAAAAGCATTAGCAAAGCCTTTGGTTAGCTCATAAGCTCTCACAACCACATCACCGGCCAAATTCCTTAGTGCATTGTTTTCTACACGCACAATAAACACTCCACTTTATTCGTTGCCCAAATGCATTCGGTCAGTCTATATACACTGGGGCTGTTGCTTTTGGTAAAGGTACTCTCATAGACATCTTGTTGCAGACAGCTCTGACTCCAATAGGCTAAAGTAGTTTTCTGTAAGCCTGCCTGGTGCATGGAACATTATCTGCTGCACTCAAGACCCTAATTTTCTCCGCACAGATTGCCTTCTGTTCAATGCAACCACAAGTTACACTGAAAACACTATAGTCGCTTTGTAAGGTAGGATCAGCGCTTATAAATAGACAAGTATTCTATTCTTAAATCTCCAAATTATTATTACTGTCTCGCTGATTGCGTCCTGTTCTCTGTGGCATGCATTTTGTTCTATTGAATGCAGTAATGAGAATAATGTGGAAAGATATTAAATTGTAATGGGAGAAGTTGTTAAAAGTGTGTGTGCGTAGAAGGGTGGGGGGTGTTTTTGTTACATTCCTGGTTACACCCTGTTTTGCTTCGCTCAAACTGTGAAGGCCCAGTGATTACATCTAATCATTATTACATAACCGCACGAGCCCACCCCAGTCCACTCCAGCGTTTCTGTCAATATTGGTGCTCGGGTTATAATCAGGTGTCGACCAATTTTTATTTTTTTTAAAGGGACAATTTTTAAGTTGCGCAGAGATGTGGAGTGGACTTCTCCATTTGGGGTTGACCCTTGTGTCGGATGGAATTGTAGAGGAACATCCACATAGCACTCTCGCTTCTCAGCAAGAAGGTCCTAGGTTCGAATGCTGGTCGGAACAGGGCCTTTCTGAGTGGAGTTTGCATGTTCTCCCCGTGTCTGCGTAGACTTCCTCCAGGTACTCCGGTTTCTCCTATCACTAAAAAGATGTATTGCTCTCAATTGTAAACCGCTTTGTGACTCTGGTCTGTGAAAGGCGGTATATAAATAAAAGATTACTTACTTACCTACTTGCGATACAATAATGCAAACTAAGAATACCCTTTAAATGCATAAAGCAAGAGGGTTGTGGGTTCAATTCCATGCTGGGTCTTTTTGTGTTGAGTTTGCATTTTTCTTCCCATGTCTGGGTCCCCCTCATGTATTCCTAACCAAGCCGAGCATCAACAACTGGAGGAAGGGTGGAAGGATGGGTCAAATGCAAAGGACATTTTCCCCCACAATGATAATAGTGTAATACTGTGATTGTATAATGAACCTGTCCTGGCATTACGGGATGAAACTACTATTAATAAATTAAAAAGTATACCTTACCTCACCTGTCCCAAAAGTGGCTTCAGCTACGCAAATATTTTAAACCGGATCTTGATTGGCTCTTTGGTTGCTAGGTCGTTGCCATCCCCAAATTTGGCTCCAGATTCCGGCCCATGGAGCCTGTTTGTGTTTGCTCTGTTCACTTTCTTCATCAATAAGGCAAACACTATAGCAGCCTGTGTCTTGGCTTATGATTGATGTTTATATGTGTACATGATTAAAGAGACAAAAAGATATGGTTGAGGTGATTTCATTATTATTCCTCCACATAAAGCTCCACTGATCCACAGAACCACATCAAATGCAGAAAACCAAGCAATGAAAAGCACCCAAACCAAGACCTCTCTTTTAGACTAATCCTGACATCATCATATAAAATAAATGAATAATTATTTTAGTAAATTGGCAAACAGAAAGACATTTTACACTGCCCTTACTAATGCTTGAGAAACAATAGTAAATAACTCTTATGCCAAACTTCAATTGAAAACCTGTTTCCCAAGATTTTACTCAACATTTCTTAAGTTCAAAACTAACGATTGTCTCAGTTTGACTTCCACATAACTTCACATGAGTCACCTCAAAACACAGTTCAAAGTACACACACAATCTGTTCCTACATGCCAGTTAACAATAGTCTTATAGCATGCCCAATCCTGCCTGTACCCAAGGACCAGCCAAATCTGTAACATGAAGCAATAGATTTGTCGCTTGGATACGTTACTTGTTGATCCGTAATGTATTGTTGTTACTTTCTCTCTTCCCTGCGTGGGGTCTGCTGGTCATGTGACTGTGAGGCCAGCTGGGAGGGTGACCCGTGGCCCTGCCCTCTTGTGTTCAGGACAGGGGTCCGGGCGTGAAAAGACAACATCCTCCTCTGGTGTGGCCCTCAGGAATCCACAGGTCAGGCCCTATCCTTAGGTGGGACGTCTGGGACCAGAGTGCACTGGAATGCCCCTCCAGCGCTTGCATCAATAAGCAGAGATATAGAGGCAACACACAGTATCAATTACTCAGAACTCAGAAATGCACTAGTCACCGGGCGCTGTGAGAAACATGCTGGAGGTGGACGATGTTGAAATTGTCTGTTGAAGTTTGAAGCAGTTAGTGTACCATTGAGGCCGTTTCATGTCGTCTATCTCATTGTCATGAAGATACCATAATCCGATAATATATAAACACAGTGTCTATATTATCGGATTATGTTGTCTTATGTCATCTGCTGGTCTTCATTTGTAGATTATGTTGCTTCATGGCAGGGAAATCAAAGGAGACTCCATGAGGCCAAGTTAGAAGGTTCAGGGCCATCTTTGGCAAAGGATGTAAGACTGGTTTAAAGATCCTGGTTTGCTGTTTTGGTCTTGATCAGAGTGAGTTTAATGGGGATGTGATATTTCAGACCAACATAGCGATTGTAATTTTAGATATCCTGTTGTATGTTTAAGAAGTCCAAGAAGCGATCACCTCACATGCAATTCCCACACATTTCAGGAAAGGTTTGTAGAATTGAGTTTGAACCTACCATTTTTTTCATGTAGAAATGAACCTTTAATGTGTAAGTTGTATTTCTCCTGTTAGATAAATGCCATTAGAATTTTTTTTTGAAAAAACTGTTTTTGTAAATCAACAATTCACATATATTAATGCTGAATTAGGTTTTAAACAAATATTTCCTCACAAAATTCTTATAGACTAACCTCTGTTCTGCTCACTTTGTGACAGGTTCAACTTAAATATGAAACATTTAATGTTGTCATAGAAACAATAATGCTTCTGTGAAAGAAACAGTAAATGCTTGTTCCATTGACACATCTTCAAAATAATTTCCCAAAAGCAAACTTGATGTTGCTGATATTTTAGTATATTTTTATTGTTTGCAAAGAAATAATTGCAGTCACAAAAGTTGCTTTTTTGATCAAATGTGATTCATCGAACCCAAAGTGCTTTACAAATACATGACATCATACACATTTACCAACATTATAAAATATACAAGGTAGAACAATATTAAAATAAAAACAAATTGAATGTAACAAAAGTTACGGATAAGTAGAGATGCTCCAATCCTGCTTTTTTATGTCTGATACGATCTTCATTCTGTGGCTTTTAATATCCAAAGATACTCAATATGGACAGAGACCAGAGAAAGACCTGGGGAAAAGATAAAAAGTTTTACTAATTATTTTTTCTTTTTTCCAAACTGTTTATTTCTGTTAATTTTGTCTTTTTATTCTATATATTGTTTGTTGTTTATAGTTTCATGTCATCAATAATACATGACCCGGCGATATTTCCAGTATAGACCCTTCCCTTTTATATCTGGTACCAGTATCTGTCCAGGGTGTTTTTTTATTCAACCTGTGTCTGTTTTACTTCCTGAACATGAATTGAATGTCAGAATTAAAACGGTATAATACTATATTCTGATTTATAACACTAGTATTTATTTTACTTTGTTGTCAACATATCCATATCTTTGCTCCACAATGATAAGAAACATGAGGCATCTGGTTGTGATCGTCATTAACACTTTCAGTTTCATTATCGAGCTTTTGCGAACTCCCCAAGTGTAATCTTCCTTAACATTTGACTCGGTATCATTTGTGTGAGTGTGGCTGCTATTTCTCTCTCCCCCTCACCTTCTATCCAGACTGCTTCTCGCTCTTGGAATGTGTCTTTTGTTTTCCGTTGTCAGGCCTGTCCCAGCGCAGGTGCCCCGTGCGCTGTTATCTGACTCCCACGGGTCGCACACAGCTGACAGGGGGCGGGCCTCAAATCTCTGCTCTGCCTGTGCGTCCACTCCCTTCAGATGGGGCTGAGGACGAGAAGAGGCTGTCAAGTCTGTCTGTGGAGATTCTTTCTACAAGACTTCCAGGCGTTTTTTGGTGGATTTTGTGATTTTTCTGACATGCTCAACACTTTTTTCTACTTTGGATTTGAGTTGGGGATAACTACAAAGTGTTGACAATGCAAGGAAGGGCCAACAAAGCCAAAAAGGAGTTGGTGATAGAGAGTCCGCAGCGGTATAAGACGTCTCCCATAACAGAAGTGGAGGAGGATGCAGTGCCACAGGTGAATCGTACTTCAAATACAATATGAATACGCATGTTTTTGTACTTTTTCCCAACTTGCCGTCTCAGTATACGAGCTGTAAAAAGTTTATAACAGTCACCAGGTGTCACATGTGCATTGTCATCTCTTTCATTAAAGCTCAAAGTGCCATGTAAGCAGGAAGAATGGTTGGACTTTGTGCCAAATACCTTCAGAGATGCAACCAGTAGTTTGCATAGTTTGTATAATTTCACATGGCAGAGGTGTAAATGGTTTGGCTGTGCTTCTAATTTGCCCTACTGTAAATTTATAGTGACATTTTTACGTCTTTTTTGTCTTTTTGGTCCCCCATAAGACCCCTATCTGACATCAATTTTATACTGTACTTAAAGCTGTGGTGTCTCACTTTCAAACACACCAAAATTGTTAGTTGGATGTTATTTCAATCCGTCTAATAGTTCATATAGCTCTCACAACAGCTTGGTTCTATAACTTAATTTCACATGCACGTATTTTGGTCACATTTTCAGCCTTTGTCAGACAAAAAAGTTAAAAAAGAGAGGACCACCCCCACTCAGCCAATCAGCTCTCTGCCCAAAGCATAATAGTTTCTTATCTTCTTTCATATGCAAAACATAACACATAACATGTTTTGGTGATGAATTGATTTTTGTTCTAAATTGTTCTTTTTTTTTTTTTTTTTTTTTGCGCAACTTTTACTGTTGAGACAAAGTAAACACAATGGGGAGAAAAGCGGGGTACTGAAGATTTTAGTGCGTTTTAAATCCACGTGTTTTGTTTTTCTTTGGAATTACCAATCTCGCTGAGGTTGACACTGACAGAAATACTGCGTGAGGCCTTTCTCAAATGTATGTATCTTTAGTGTCAGTGGTAAGAGGGTGTGTGTTATCAGTCGGCATAGGCACAACACAGCACCATTGTTCAGTGTAATGGGAGGAGTGCGTCTCAACAGCTGGTGCACTGGACGCAGGGAGGACCGCAGATTTATGTGGCCGTTTGATGCTGGGAGATGAGGCCGTCTCAGTCTCTATGTGGACTTTAGGCTTAATCATGTTTTTGACAAGATTCATACTGCGTTGGCTTTTTATCATTGTGCTTAAGAATAGGATGGAGAGAAAAATAAATTGCAGGAAGATTCTATGAACGGTGTGTGAAAGAAGTGTGTGTACCAAGAGTTGTTTAATTCAGAAATACCTCTGGAAAACATTGTGGTTTGTGATCATGCAGTTTTGTTAGGATTTTAATGTGAAAAAACCCCAAAAAAACAAAGTCTGTGTATAGGAGTGTGACTTTTCTTTTTTCCATTTTATGTCCAGGACTCCCTTGAAAAAGTGGTTCTTAATCTCAGTGGGACTTAAATGGTTGAATGAAGGTCAAACAACTTACCCAAAAAAAACCAAAGCTGTCATAATCCTTTGCTGCATATTTTCTTTATTTAAACTAATATGCAAATTGGCGTGGAAGTATTCCAAGTATCCAGAATGCAGTCCTCTACTCCTTACAAAACACATGTTAACACAAGTATTCAGTATGCTGTAGTACATGTTGTTGTAAATACATTTTTGAAGTATTCTATAACAATAATACAATCCATTATCATTATACTGTTATACTCTCTAAGGTTATCGTTTTAATGTCTATAAAAAGATATTAGTCTAATGTTAGTGATGTTTCTACTCTGTATCATGGTTCAAATAGAAAAGGTTTTTCTTTGTACAAATAGCACACAACTAGATCCATGACACAACTGCATAAACAAATGGTGGTAGAACATTCAAGTAAAACAGGGGGTTGAGTGAGCAGAATGATGATGGGTTTTTTCACATTTTACTGCTTTGACTAAAATGTTTTGTTTTGTTCTTGTTTGTACAGATACAACATTAGCATTGATTTATTTTTTCTCAAACTACAGCACAATAAACAATGTAACAAAACCCATCTATCTAATTCCACGCTCTCAAGTCAAGTAGTGACTCAAAGGGCTCTGTTAGCTCTCTCTCAAAGTACACTGACGATAACTTATTTTCTAATGAGATGGAAGCCTGTATGACTGATTTGGTCACAACATTTTACTTTTCAAGACTTTCTATTGGGATGAACAAAAAATTAGGTACTTTTTTACCACCCATGTATTTGCAGCATATTTGACAATCCCTGATTACAAACTAGAAATAACAAGAAAATACACATAATCTTTTTCTCTTTTATTTTGGGCAGTAGCAGTGACATAAAAATACAAATTTCCTTTGACGTATATTTTATATGATTAATATAATTGAAAAGCTTCCAAAAGATCCACGACAAAAGTTACGGATAAGTAGAGATGCTCCAATCCTGCTTTTTTATGTCTGATACGATCTTCATTCTGTGGCTTTTAATATCCAAAGATACTCAATATGGACAGAGACCAGAGAAAGACCTGGGGAAAAGATAAAAAGTTTTACTAAATATTTTTTCCAGCCTCTTTTTTCCAAACTGTTTATTTCTGTTAATTTTGTGTTTTTATTCTATATATTGTTTGTTGTTTATAGTTTCATGTCATCAATAATATATGACCCGGCGATATTTCCAGTATAGACCCTTCCCTTTTATATCTGGTACCAGTATCTGTCCAGGGTGTTTTTTTATTCAACCTGCGTCTGTTTTACTTCCTGAACATTGTCTTACTTTGAGATGGGATGATAAACTGGACGGATTACTCGACACAGACCCGCATATTTCTCCTGTAAATCTCCTTAGTTTAGTTTCTGTTATGTCTATCGTAGGATCTGGCGCTCTGATATCTACCTGTCTCGTCCCCTATCACTGGTCGACTGCAGGTTGTTATAACTTTGTGAATGAATGAATTCATAAATGGATGAACAAACTGTTGCTCACTCACTTGATGACTGATAATGTCATCACAGTCCTCCGCACCGGGCAGACTCTGGGGCACCATGAGCTCCTCCTCGACCTTGAAACTGATACTAGCTTCTATTCCATGTGTCTTCTCCAAAGTCTGTGCAGATTATTAACAAAGTTGCTCACGCCGTGTATTTAGACATTTTCTTATCATGACTTCACCGACTTCTTCCGAGCACTTCCAGATGTGTCACTGTTCATTTGGCTTTGACTTAACAATGTCTGAGCTAGTGCCACGATGCTAAAATGACAAACTAAGACAAAGGCTTGATTGGGGACTGACAGATTATTGGTTTACTGATTAAATTGGGCAATTTTATAGTTTTGAGATATAGATACTTTATTGATCCCCTGTAGGAGAAATTCTGTTGTCCAGCAGCAGAAACACATCCATCCTTACAAACAAAACAAATAAATACATAATTCTAAATATTGACCCAAATTTGAATAATTATTTATTTCTATCATTCAATTACACACCCACTCAGCCATCAACTTATGTTGTCAAACTTTACTCAATTCAGACCTGTCATAGCTACTTTTAAAGCCAGATGTTCACACCATGCATGTTAATGATAATTGTAAAGAGTCTGCAGCAGCCATTGAGACCATAAACTTTGTTATTTAAACACATTTACTGCATGGAGAGTCCCAATAATGCCAAAGTCAATATCGAGAGGTTTTTTCCTGAAAAATATTGGACAATTGGTTGTTCCCTAGAATCAATACTAAATACCAATTTTGATACTTGACCTTAAAACCATAGACCAGGTCAGTCCAAAGGGTCTCAGCTTCTCGTTTCTGCCTTTCTACGTGTGTTTTCATATTCGCTGTCCACCTGCTCTCCAAAAAAATAAAAACCTTACTCTGAGCACCTACTGTATGTGTTGTTTTTTGACTACCATATCATTTGTTCCCATACATTGGTTCTATTAATACTTTGGGGGGTATGTTTCGAGACAAATTAGACTGAGAAATAAGACAAGATAAGATGAACCGGAATCTGAAAAAGGTCCAAACTACAAGGACAAAAACAATGTGTGATAGAATAAACAAATGCGCATATACCTTCAATCTTTGTTTTTGTCATCATACTAACGGTACAATACGTTTCTCCTTTGTGCAGGTGAAGCCAAAGATGATCGAGCCGCTGGACTATGAGAACGTGCTGGTGCAGAGGAAGACCCAGATCCTCAGTGATGTCCTCCGAGACATGCTGCAGTTCCCTCTGGAAGACTTTGAAGTGAGTCCAGCTCCTTTCTCTCTGTAAACGGCCTCAGTTTCAATCTTCTTGACAGCCACAATAATCACAGACTGGAAAACAGGCTCTGTCAGTTTGGGTTAAATTTGACCCCAGAGAGTAATAAGTATTGTTTGTATCATAATCTCTCTCTATTTGCTTATAGTCGCTGTGGCTCTTTCTGTTGGTCTAGCACAGTGTTTTTCAATCAGTGTGCCTTGGTACGTTAATGTACCTTCCAATGTTGTTAGGTGAGCCTTTGGAAATGATACTATTTTACGTCATTGATCAATATGAAGTGAGAATATTAGACATTTTTGCGCTTGTTTGATTTTTCATCTAATATACTTTGACGAGAACTACTTTGCTTTGTTAGTAAAGGCTAGAGAGTTTCATTTTTGTCATTTTTCAGTTTCAGCTGGTGGTGTACCATGTGATTGGTTCGAATGAAAAAGGTGTGCCACGGGGAATGCTGGTCTAACAGTTCAAATCTTTTAGTAACCATAGACTTTATATAAGAACTGGACAAACCAAGTGCTGACGTCGGCCATAACATTTGTCCAATACAGAAGAAGCTGGAGCCAATTTCCATTTATGAGCGTTTGTTTCAATGGGGTGACCTTGCTAATACGGTTGCTAAGGCAAGCTTGAGTTTCACCCGCAAATACAGGCTTCTGGTTGGTCAATCCTAATGGCACATATCGCAGTGCTCAACCATGGATTTTTTAACCTAATATTGGTGATTGTTTATTTGTGACGCAAATGGTTAGTGAGCTTGAGGAGTGTACTTTTCAATGTAAGTCAATAGGAATGAGTCGGAGCAAAACTTTGTCCATGAGTACTTACCTATTAGGCTTCATCGCGCTTGTGGGTTAGCTTTGAGATTCTTTATACAGTCTATGCAAGTAACACACACAGATAATCACATCATAATAATGTATTGTTGATGTGTGTTTTAAAGCGAAAGGGAAAATTGGAAAAAAAATGGTATGACAGAAATAATAGTGGAAAATTGTACGTATGACAGTGGCTTTACATTGTCAGTGTCTGTGGCAGGTGGTGCTCTGTGGCTGTTTCCCTTTGACCCTTTAGGACTCCACATACCACCTCACTGTACGTCTGTCGGGGCTTGGTCGTCAGGGTCCGACAGGGTCCTCAGAATATCCCTACCGCCCCCGTGACTGAAGCCAACATCTGTTTGTGTTCTCTTCATAACCACCTGCGTCAAAGACAATTACTATATGTGGTCTGAGCTTTTAGTGGAAATGTATATCGCGCCATGACCTCAGCACACAGTCAAGGCTAATTGTAGCAGGTAGGATTCTGAAAACGGATATTTGAAATAAAACAGATGGATTCTTTATCAGACCATCTCAAAAGCTGGCATAAAACATGATTTAAGATAAGTGAAAAACTTTGGGAAACATGCAACTGATAGGTTTTCGGTTTGCGGCTGAAATGTTATTCATCAACTTGTAAACAATAGCACAATAGCATTGAAATTATAATGTAAATATAATATGCTTCTTCCCACTCCTTTAATCATCTACAATATTTTGGATGTTAAAGTATTGTAAAAACGACACAATACAATGCATGTATAAGTATATAGAATGAACTCAAAATAAGCAATCAAATCAGTCATTTGTATTATTAAAGATAATGATACTACTTAGTGACTTCAGTGTGTAACTTTTTGTCTGCTTGTTCCCATGGAGATGTTTGGGCGTTATTCTATATTCTATGCTGTGATGTTGCAAGCTATCACCAGTTTTACCAGTTTACAGTTCATATAGTCCCCTGATGACGTCCAGTTAACTGAAACACATTGGGACACAGTAAGGTCTATTGAGACATGCCATAACCAATAATGGATTTTTAATTCATTAGAGCGTTAGATTTGATTAGATTCGATTGAATTCAACTTTATTGTCATTACAGAGTCAGAACAATGCAACAAAATGCAGTTTAATCTAACCAGTAGTGCAATAGAGGAGCCATGCCCTGGTTTTTGTATTTGTTTATATGTATTTAATATCAATTTAATACCTCCTGGACAAATAGCACCTCATCCACTGTGAGGTCGAAGATGAGTTCCACAAAAAATGAATCGGAAATGGCGTTTATTTGTGATAAGAATTATTTTGTCTTCCCGGTTTACCCAGCCTTACTTGTATTGCAGGCTTTAAAGGGGATTTCTAAAATACCTAATAATGGATTCATTAGCTAGTAAATTTAATTGACATACTGCAAATATAGGAGTGGCTGTTTGAAAAGTCAGTGAATTTAGTTTTTGTGCCATGAGAGGTTCTTGTATTTGCAGTGTAAGGTCCTTGTGGTTGGTTTTTGCTTGACTTCCACCCCCTCATTTCATTTGAGGGCCACTTCTGGAGTCAGTGTTAGTTTTGTGATGTCCTGTTCCTCTGTGCTGACCTCTACTCTAATTAAAAGCTTCCTTAACCCCCGCTCTTCCGGGCTCTAACCTCAAACAAACACAAGTCGCTCCCGCTGTTGGGATTGTGGCGATTAGCATCTTCCACAGAGGAAACCGGGCCGCACAGAGAAAAAGGGAGACTCCACTTTCACAATCAAATCCTGGAAATGGTGAAGAACGGGATCAGAACGGTGTTGTGTGCGTGTCATGTTTGTGGTGTGCGGTAAATTCCAAGTTTATTTTTACTACGGTCGGTCGCTATTCACTTCTGTTTGAGGAAGACTCGTGAGGGGGTCGTCTGTACCTCCAGGTCATACATCTGCTGAGAACTTGACCTCCTCAACGCCACAATTCAGTGGTTTGAGGTTTGCCTTCAAAAATAAGTCAGCTGAACTGGAAATACTTTTTTTTATAACTGGCTTCTTTGGTTTTGCTCCTTGGGATTAGGCGTAGTCATACACTTTATAGTTACTTTTCTAATTGTGAAACTTTCTTAAGACTAGCACTGCCAATCTTTAAGAGCCCTCGACATGTAACGACTTGTGAATGGGTAAAATGTTTAGAAATCAATCACTCAACTTTTATTTGTAGAGCGCCTTTCCTACAAAAGGGAACACAAAGCACCTCACAACCCATATCACATCAAGCATAAATCATAAACATTAAAAATCTAAATTTTACATTTTTATCAAAACTTATGGACATTGGTCAACTCCCCTCTATGAACCAATACGTGTTTTCTATGCTTTGTGTTTAAACTGTTTTGGCGATTTCAATGGTTTTGTTAAGTCCTCCGAGATACAGTAACTACTGTTCTGATTTAGGGATATACAAGAATAAATTGAATTGAACTGAATTAAAATCTACATAAAAATTTAAAAAATACAATTCAAATTCCACAGGGCATTGAAAACACAACAAGATCACAAAAATTATTAAAAACATAAAAATTCACATTTGTTTCGGGCTTCGCCTATAAGCTGATGCAGCTTCCTGGGAGTTCCCTTTTACAAAACAACTATGAAGTTTTATAATTAATGATATTTGAATTTAATTGAATTGAATTGAATTGACATTGGTTTAACTATACTCCTCCAAAAAATAATACAGGTGGTAGATACATCATAAAATGCAGAAATGCTGATCAGACAGTACAGATGGCTGGGCACGGGTCCAATGTATTTCAGGTTTGTTTTACAGCTGAAAATATGGAATAATAATCATCTTACTCCCACAAACTTATAACAATACGTTCTCAAGCTCAAGATGAAACCATTTCTCTTTTGTTTTTAGTTTTCTTTACTACTATTGTGAATGCTGGCAGTTGACTTCTTGGTGCTTTATTGATCAAAAATGTTATACCTTTTCCGTTCATTTATTTAAAGATTTGTTTTGTTTGTTCGCAGATCTCCACTTTGAGGCGGCAAGGAAGGACTGTTTTTTCAACCGTGCCTGAAAAAGCAGAGAGAGAAGCTCAAAGCCTGTTTGTCCAAGAGGTACACTATGTCAGAATATACTTTTCTGGAATACACACAGTTCAGTTCTGACAAGATTAAAGAAAAAGTCATTTTTATGCCTCAACTGCCTCAAAATAACTTACAACTTTACACATTTCTAGTGACAAGTAAAATCTATTAAAGATGTTGGGCAAAATGTGTGCAATTAGCTATTAAGTCTTTACAATCCAGTTGATTCAAACATTGTATTTTTTTTCTCACATTTTCCGGAAGACAAGTTTGTTTTAGCAGCATAAATCTGAAATGTTGAATCCCCATGTTTACTGTTGACTCTGGCCACGAGCAGGAGGCCAGTCCCTGTGCTCCTCAGAGTCCCAGCAGGAGGCCAGTCCCTGTGCTCCTCAGAGTGCCAGCAGGAGGCCAGTCCCTGTGCTCCTCAGAGTCCCAGCAGGAGGCCAGTCCCTGTGCTCCTCAGAGTCCCAGCAGGAGGCCAGTCCCTGTGCTCCTCAGAGTCCAAGCAGGAAGCCAATCCCTGTGCTCCTCAGAGTCCCAGCAGGAGGCCAGTCCCTGTGCTCCTCAGAGTCCCAGCAGGAGGCCAGTCCCTGTGCTCCTCAGAGTCCCAGCAGGAGGCCAGTCACTATGCTCCTCAGAGTCCCAGCAGGAGGCCAGTCCCTGTGCTCCTCAGAGTCCCAGCAGGAGGCCAGTCCCTGTGCTCCTCAGAGTCCCAGCAGGAGGCCAGTCCCTATGCTCCTCAGAGTCCCAGCAGGAGGCCAGTCCCTATGCTCCTCAGAGTCCCAGCAGGAGGCCAGTCCCTATGCTCCTCAGAGTCCCAGCAGGAGGCCAGTCCCTATGCTCCTCAGAGTCCCAGCAGGAGGCCAGTCCCTGTGCTCATCAGAATCCCAGCAGGAGGCCAGTCCCTGTGCTCCTCAGAGTCCCAGCAGGAGGCCAGTCCCTGTGCTCCTCAGAGTCCCAGCAGGAGGCCAGTCCCTGTGCTCCTCAGAGTCCCAGCAGGAGGCCAGTCCCTGTGCTCCTCAGAATCCCAGCAGGAGGCCAGTCCCTGTGCTCCTCAGAGTCCCAGCAGGAGGCCAGTCCCTGTGCTCCTCAGAGTCCCAGCAGGAGGCCAGTCCCTGTGCTCCTCAGAGTCCCAGCAGGAGGCCAGTCCCTGTGCTCCTCAGAGTCCCAGCAGGAGGCCAGTCCCTGTGCTCCTCAGAGTCCATAACTATGATTTTTTTTTTCCTGGGCTCACCACTGCAGTCCTGGCCACCTGTGATGCACTAGTTAAAAGCATGTTGATTGGGTTTTACTGGGAACACACACCTCAACCCAGTGCCAGCTCCATGGCCTTTTTGTTCAATAATATCATTTGTTATAGCACTGACTCATTAGTTTTCTTTTTTCGGGTTACTGTCAAACCCGCCCACACATGGTTGTTTGAGCATCATGTGTGTACCAAAAAAATTCCAATGAGCTGGCGAGAGACATTCAGTGCTGATGTTAGTCACTGAAGAACGGGGGGTTTCAAAGGATCCAAGTGTTTTTATGATCCAGCTTTAGTGTAAAAAACAACAAACAACATATATCCTGTTCTACAAAGTGTTTTGAAGGGCATCTTTTTTAAACTCATAGGCCAAGCGCTGGTCTAGTCTCTCATGATGACATCACTGGGGCAGGTCACCGCTGCAGGAGCCTCCTTGTTTCCACATCACTCTCCTCCAGATCGAGTTGTGTTTCACTTCTTGTAAAGGGCACGTCCTTCTTCAGAAGCAATACTGAGCTGCTCCCATCTCTGACCGTAACAATGAACAGATGTGTCCAAGAACATCCTCCCATTTAGCTCTTTCAATTAACCATGAAGTAGCAGCACATTTTCTTTAGACGGTAAAAAATGAGACTCCATGAACACACGGTAAAGAATGATCGAGTCTGCAGTCATTACTCGGATGAATAATTGTGTGTTGTATATTTTACTGTATTGTGTTTGTGTGATTAGAGGTGTTGTATTTTACTTGTGTTTTGCTAATTAGGCCATTCTATTTATCAATTCTTTGCACACTTTAAACCGGCTGTCATGTTGGCTCTGCCCTGTTAAATAAACATCCATCCATCCATCCATTTTCTACCCTTTAATCCATTTCTGGGTCAGGGGGGTGGCAGTCAGAGATGCCACCCAAGTCTCATAGCACCAGCCCCTCACTGCCCCTCTGCAGGTGGTGAGTCCACAGGAGGATTAAATAATTAAATAAACAAATGAATAAAAAATAAAAGATGAAGTCCTAACTGCGGTAGTTTAAGCTCCAGATATTTGCTTCTGTTCTTGTAGTTTGAGATAAGCTCTGGAGCATTGTAAAAGTTCAGGTGTACTCTAAATGATTTACTTTATGGATCCTTCTACAGCACTGGGGCAACCTGTAAAGCAAGTATGGATGCTGAAACATGTATTTATAGCATGACTTGTATAATTGTAAATCTGGAACGGTTTTCCCAAAAATGTGAGACAGGCTTTTTTCTCTGACAAAGTTTAAATCCAGATTAAACTGTAACAGAGAGATTTTATCTTTACTCTTTTGAATATACAGTGATTTTTTATGATTTTAATGCCTTGTGTAATTGTTTTTATCTTGTTTGAGTTGCCTTCTGTATGAACTGTGCTCTACAAATAAACTTGCCTTGCCTAATTCTTTATTTTCTTTCATTTCAGTGCATAAAGACTTACAAGTCTGACTGGCATGTTGTCAACTACAAGTATGAGGACTATTCCGGCGACTTCAGACAGCTGCCTGTGTAAGTCACTATTCTACCTTTTCAAACCTTTTATGGACAAACACTGAAAGTACTTTACCACCTGCATAAACTCAATATAGACAGATGTGGTGGATCAACTCTGTGTACAAATATGTGGTAAATACATATATACAAATATGTGGTAAATACATATATACAAATATGTGGTAAATACATATATACAAATATGTGGTAAATACATATATACAAATATGTGGTAAATACATATATACAAATATGTGGTAAATACATATATACAAATATGTGGTAAATACATATATACAAATATGTGGTAAATACATATATACAAATATGTGGTAAATACATATATACAAATATGTGGTAAATACATATATACAAATATGTGGCAATAATACATTATATATATTATTATTATATTATATAGACAGATGTGGTGGATAAACTGTGTGTACAAATATGTGTTGGATGAGCTCGTTTTGTATCAAGACAATGACCGGGAACCTTGATTTTCTTCATATTTACCTGGATGTTTCCTCAAATTGCGTTTAGGCCATTTCCCGGCTGGCGTCTGCCTGGAAAACACTGTCGTTGTTGGTATGTTGGGAAATGATTGTGAGCCAATTCCCCAATCTGTATTTATATCAAGCTTTAATATTCAGGGAAACACTAACCGTGCTGATAACTGTGAGGAAGTAAAACAATGAGGTGTGAGGATAAACATTGTGGAATCTTTCAGATAGTTGCGTAGTGGGATTGTTTTGTGTTTTGGCAATGATGAGCAGAACACATAATGTATCCTGCTATTAGATTTTCCAAGTGGCCAGTAAACCACAGCCTCTTTTCTTGCATAAATAGTTCTATCAAAACTATAGTACAAACTCAAATCAATCAAAAATCTCTCATTTATTTATGTAATTCAACTTGAAATTTAAAAGCAGCACATAAGATAGACTCATGAAACACAAAGAGACATAGAACAAGCCCTTGTTTTTTATACTTGTGGATGATTATTGCTTACTGTCCACAATTATGAACAAAATAATATGTGTAATACGTTTGCCATATTAGTTTCACATTAAGTTCAATTACAGATTAACAAAATAGACTTTTGACTTTTGAGTTTCAGATGTATTATGTGTCTAATAATACATATACGGCCCATACCTCTACTACTATGTCTAACTTCTGGTGTGAAATTCTTCTAAAACTCTACTACCATGACTTAATACTCAAAAACTACTCGGATCCCAACTACGAGTGATGCCCTATTGTTGTATTCTGTGTTGAGGTATTTCCTAAGAAGTCTGTGTGTGTGTTTCCCAAGTGCTCTAAGAATGATGTTATTTACTCTTTTATGTATCTATTTTTCATTTATCTTTTAAAGCAAAGTATCCAGACCTGACAAACTGGCCGTTCATGTCTTTGAGGTGGACGAGGATGTTGACAAAGATGAGGTATAATATAATCTATTTCTCTATTTTTCTATAGTATTAGTGTATGTATATGTGTCTTGGTATAACTTGCATGTTAAAGCCAGATCCTGACTGACCTTTTAAGATGAGCAGGGCATGACCTGGTTAATACTGTGATGGGAGACCTCGGGAAACACTAGTTGCCACAGTGGGGCTGGGTTAGGGTTAGGGTTAGACACTTTACTCACATTAGAATGAGTAGTTTATCACCACCGTTTATGGAGTGAAAGAATAAGGACATGTGAAGCGTCTTTGAGTATCCTAAAAAGTGCTAAGTATTCTGTTATTATTAAATATTTATAGTTTAAAATAATGAATGCACCTTCTCTTCGCTCCAGCTCATGTGGCTTAAACAGTCTGTATTGCTGCTTTCCTGTTCTCATTATTGCACTTACAGAGATTTGGGTCTAATTGCCGGCATTAGCGCAGACTGTGTGTATAATTAGGGGTAATTTCCACTTAAAGTTAAACCAAAGTCTCTTTTGACAATGAAGAATTCAGCTTCTTGCAGACGCTGGATTTCCTGAAAACCTAATGAGACGAGGGTGCGAGCTTTGCACAGATTAACACTCAGTTTGTTTTCTTTGGAACCGCTTTAGAGAGAGTGGCTCAGGACTAAGTCAGTAGGATGAACAGCGCTTCATGTGGGTAACTTAAGTATATACTGTATTCAATCAGACTTTAGTGGTGATTGTGTTTATAGTCTTTTTATTTCTTGACCATTAGAACTATATTAGTATTGAGTTATGATTATCAGTCCGACTATTATTATCTGCCTTATTTATGACAAGTGTAAAGTAAAATACCGTCACATTGATTAAGACCTAATGAGCTGTTTCGATACATTATTAAACTAAATCTTAAAGCTGTGGCACCTCACTTTCAAACTACAAAGAATAGATCAATGTACCGGTAATAAAACTAGTAGGATGGTTAACTATTTCCTTGCTCTCAAACATTTCACACTCAGCCAATCAGCTCTCACCTCAAAGCATCAGGTAGTGACTTAAAGGGTTCTTTCTTAAAAGTATGCAAAATATGTTCTTTCTACTAATAAGATAAAGACAAGATGTTGTGGTTTGATTTGTTTTCAATATTTTACTTTTAAAAGACTTTCTCTCAGGACAAACACCATGCATTATTCATGGTAAAAGTAACCCAGCTTTTAGAATTGTTACTTAAATCGGTATTGGAAATTAATGCTTATTAATGCTCTGTGTCATTCATACCACACTCAGGCTCCCATTTGAGATTTACAAATTATAACACTGTTTTTTTTAAATTGAATTATTTTTTTTATCTCAAAAGTAAAAGGACTTCACAAACACAGATCAGAAAATCATACATTTCAAACTCAAATAATGAATTTTAAATGTGAAGTACTTTGTGATCCTGGTCTGTGAAAGGCTCTATACAAATCAACTTGACTTACTTACTTAAATATACTTACTTAAATAATACACAAACATACACAAAAAACACATAGACTCCATAAATGTGAAAAGATTATCATAAATGCCTTTGAATGTTGAATGTGCTGGACCCTCGGCAAGGAACAACTCATACAAACCCAGCGGGAAAAAAGTGAAAAACCTCGGGGAGATCTACATTGAGGGAGGGCTCTTCTCCCACAGACAATAAAACAATATATTACAATAATTTTACTAATAAACAAAAAATATCTAAAAATCAATGAATACCACAATCAAATGAAACCCTTTCTGTTTGCGTCTAAACTTCCATCCACAAACTAAGCCTATCACTTACAAACTAGTGTGTACTTTTGCTTCTCAGGGACTGGTTAAAGCGGTCTAGACAGTGACGACAAGCCTTCACAAGCAGGCTTGTTTCCACTGAACCTGGGGAAGAAATCACAATCCAGGCCAGCACTTTGAAAGCCCCTAGTTTCTCCGCCTGATCATATGTTTGGATCAGAATATAGACTTACTGAAAGACCACTGACTGCTCACTCAACTCACAATAATAAATGTGTTATAACGTTTACCGATCTCTCCCCTTTACTCCCAAAAACGTGTTTATTTTTACAGATTGCTGTGTGTGTAGTCATAGTCGGCCCGAGCCAAAAGAAGGCGGTGATCTCATGCAGTGTGAATAGATTCTATCCATGTGTTAAAGTTCTTGGTTGTTTGTCTGCCCCATTGCTCACAGTTTGTTGAATGTTCTTGCGTATGATTGTTTTTGGGGAGGCAGGCCGACATGGGGTTAAGGCCCATGTCATCTCAAAGCACAACATCTGAGGTTGTCAAGAGGGTGTGTTCCAAACAGACGTGATGTGATGTTGGAGGCTGCAGCAAAGCCGGGTGATAACTGTGCTGTTGCTGTGGTCTGTTTGTGGCTCATTATAAATCACTATAGTGTGTGTTTTGCTGGATTACAGACATCAAATAGTATTTTAAACCGGCAACATTATTGGCTTAGTGGTATAACATCCTTGACTTTAGGGAGAAAAGGTTTGATTCTTTAATGTGGAAATTTCCTCAGAAGTATTAAAGCTGGGGTACCTAACTTAAGCCACAAAAATGAATTATGTTATAAAATCCAACTTGTTCCTGGCTCTCAAAACAACGCTTCTATCAGTTTTTGCATGCATAATTAATTCTATTTTTATTTTTATCTCTGTCATGTCTATAAGATCAGAACGAGAGGACAACACTCACTCGTCCAATCAGCTTCCATCCCAAAGCATCAAATAGTAACTCACAGGGATTTCTCATCAAGTATAAAGATGTCGTCCAATTTCTTCACAAAATTTTTCTTTTACAAGTTTCATTCTGTTGGTACAAAAAACATAGATTATTTATTGAAGAAAAAGGTTGGTCTCCATCAGCCAAGTGACAAAAAGCACTTATCAATAGACTTCATTATAATATAATATATGTTTAAATGTATTTTAAATGATAAAAAGTGAACATATATAATTCTTTATATGTTAAACATGCATCGACTGTCTGTGATTCCCAGAACAAACTTTAACATCATTTGGTTTTCTTCTTTTATAGGACACCACCTCCTTAGGGTCTCAGAAGGGCGGGATCACCAAACATGGCTGGCTTTACAAAGGCAACATGAACAGTGCCATCAGCGTTACCATGCGGGTAAGGGACTTGTCAAAGAAACTTCTATATACATGGACTGCATTCACATTTCCTTTTCTTTCTTTATTTCAGTCCTTCAAGCGCCGGTATTTCCATCTAACCCAGTTGGGAGATGGTTCCTATAACCTCAACTTTTACAAGGATGAGAAAATCTCCAAAGAGCCCAAAGGAACCATATTTCTTGACTCCTGTATGGGTGTAGTGCAGGTAAAAAGTATTTTCTATCGTCATTAAGTCTTCTGCATGTGAACGCATGATCTTGTCAGATTTCTTAAGTTACGCAGGAAAGGGTTTGGTAAGTACTGGGATGGGAGAACCTCTGTGAACACAAGGAGCCATAGTTGGAGAGCTGAGACTACAGTTGTGTCCTTAGGCAAAACACTTAAACACACATTTAAGTATGCACCCAGTTTTGCACCGTTTATACTTGTTTCTTATCAAATATTTGTGGACTGCGTGGTTCCTAAGTTCAGAACCTCTTTTGAACTATCCACCTTTTCCTCTAATGGAGCCAGACTGTAGAACACTCTTCTCACTTACCTGAAACTACAAATAGTTTAGTTTATTTCAAGCAGGTTGTAAGAACACTGATGTTAAAACAAAGAATGACTTCAACATCTTCATCAGACGTCTGAAACTGTGGCTGAAATTGTAGAAAAGTTGTTCACATGTTAAATGAATTGCATTTAATTGTATATTTGTACATTTTTTACATTTCGTTTATGTACTAAAAGCCTCCCATGGACAAGTGTTGAAAACTAGCATGGTTGCTGTAACACTAAAGACAGTGCATCTGGTCCAATGTCACTGTTGTGTCCAGATCAAATCAAAGAATAAAATGATGAATAAACAACATTTTAATAACTTCACAAAATTAACCCTCTAAACACATCCCGAAGCTTCTGGCTGGATGCTTTCCTGAAATTGGAGCCTTCTATTCGCTCAGACTGGCTTCGTTCTGCTGACTCTGAGCCGATAGCCAAGGTGAATGCTGAGGTCTCACTTCCAGGCACTTACCGCAAAATCAATGGCACGTGTTTGTGTCTATGCGGCCATACAGCTCCGTGCACACTCTTATGATCCATCTGTCAATGGATGGAAAAAGGATTTATTGACGGCATCAAAACGGCTCCTAAATGCTCTGAAAACATCAATGAGTTAGAGGAATCCAAGCTCGTATTACAACTGTTGAACTGCTCACTTTCTCCCTGTTATAATTTATGGAGGGAAATGTGTAGTTGAATTCATAATTTTATATTCATGGATTTAATTTATTTGATAATTCGCAGCAAGTTCTAAACAGTATGGAGCCGATGTGCATGACGGGTTTAATCAATGCCATTATTAACTACTACAAATTGGTAAAGTTTTTTCTCTTTTTTTTAATATAACGGGTTATGACTAAACTCAACCTCAAACTGCTCCTGGTTAAAGTTTAAACATATCACATATAAGTCAATGATAATTAACTCTTTTTACGGTATGAGCTAATTATTATTTTAATATATTTCATACATGCACAAGTATAATATTCATTAATCCAACCATTTGCCTACTTGAGAGAACTTTATTATCAAATCACATCAGACACCAAAAACTTGCTTGCTTTCTAATCAGTATATAAATATAAAAAAGTATGCCAGGTCTTTTTAGAAGTATTAATCTATGACATTTTTTCTCTCATTCAAAATCAGTTGTTTTCCAGTTTATCACCTGTTGGATCAGGGCTTATCATTTGGAATTAAAACAAATGAAGTGTGATGGAAAACAATACACATGGATATCTTTCCTCTTGGCTCGTGAGTTTTGTGGTCCCCTGTGTTTTTTTTTAAATTGTTTTCTATTTTATGGATCTCTCTGCTCTTTTTTGATTTTACTGGTTTTATTTTTTGTACCAGTAAAGTAACATTGAACATTGTATCTGTTTCATCTGTCTGTTGTCTTTACTGTCTTTGGAAACTATTTTGTTGTGCTATGCATGTGCATAGTTGAATTTGTAAAACCTTGCCTTTGACTTGTTCGTTTAACTACGTCAGGATTTTGGTATTTATTGACATGAGATCATAACTTGCTTTTATAACTTTGGTGTTCCAAAAACATAGTGATGTCATATTTGAACGATTGAAAAATTACACATTCCCTTTTGGCTCTGGCTTATTATATTATCATAGAATGTAAACGGAACAAATCTGTAAATTTGGAACACTAGCAGCCTTTGGAGAGATTTCTACCATCTCAAAAGTTTGATTACAAAGCAAACATTTCATATCTTGGTGCTTATCTGGAATGTTTTGCTCGCTCTCTGCAGAATACCAAAGTCAAGAGGTTTGCCTTTGAGCTGAAGATGCAGGACAAGAGCACGTACTTACTGGCGGCGGAAGGGGAAGGGGAGATGGACGAGTGGATCAATACCCTCAACAAGATCCTCCACAGCAGCTTCGAGATCGCCATGCAGGAAAAGAGAAACGGGGACCTCCACGACGGTGCGTGTCGGGCCCTCGGCTTTAGACAGTGCTTAGTGTCGTTGTTTACGTGCTATAAGAGCTTTCCATATCACCGTCTGCTCCACAGGCTGAGTACATATGTGAGTACCTTGTGTGAGTACCTTGATGCTTACCCCTGTCACTATTATGGGATGTTTTATGTTCATATTTGCCCAACAGTGCTTCTGCCAATTATCCAAATAGAATGACATTTACCTTTATATAACCACAGACACTTCAGAATCTCTTTCAGGTTGGAAGGAGAATGGGGGAGATGCTATTGTACATGTTTTAGTGGCAGGTGAAACTTCACACAGAAAGGCCTGTGTGGAGGTGGAATCGAACCCAGGGCCTTCTTGTTGTGAAGCACAACAGCTGCTGCATTACTAAATTAGTTACTATTCTAATATATTACAATAATGTATTCCTATTTGAAGTAACTAAAGTGTGCAAAAGTGAAAATTGGTGATATTAGTGGTCACAACACACATGATATTTAAGCAAAGATGATATTTAACCTAATATAATAATGTAAATAACATCAAAAGTATTGGAATGCAATTAAAAAACAGTGCTGTGTGACATTATGAGCGTTCTGGGCTAAAATAAATGAAAGGTTACTCAAAGTAGTAGAGATCAGTCACATTTTAAAAGTGGTAATTGTATTGTATTACACATTTATCCCAGTATCCCAGTTTTTTTTAATAATTCACACTCTTTATAGCTTCTGAAAGAATCTACTGTTTTATAAATCAACCCCTTCCTGAAACAATCACCTTCGTCATTTCTGGTTCTTCAGGAAACACAAAAACACACTGTTGACATGAGCCTAAAGGGGTTTATCACATGATCTGCTCGACTGAGGGCGCAGATCTTTCATCCAGAGGTGGCCTGCATCACGAGGAGAGACCTAAGCGAAAAAAATGACCCAGTCTGTTATTTGAAGTACCATGGATGACGATATTTTAAAACTGTGAAAGTTAGAAAGATAATAGACATGTCTTATTATAGGATTAGTCTTATGTTTATTGATTTTTTACTTGAATGTGTTTTTAAGAGCCCCTTTTCCACCCACTTCAGTTTGGACATATTTTTGATCCTCCCTTGTGCTCAGACCACCCAGGCTTTTGAGACACCTATGTGAGCTGCAGGGCGAGCTGAGCAGAAGCAGCCTCAATGATCTCACCAAATCCTACAGTCTACAACATCTACGTCTGTGGTTTTGTCTTTGTGGGATCATGAGGGCTGTGCATTAGATAACCCTTTTTTTTTTTTAATTGTTGCCAGATGATACAATGATATATTCCGTAATGTCTTTCCCATTTGTTTCTGTTGCTTGCAGATGATGATCTTGGAAAGTCTGACAGTTCCTCTGGCAGCATGGACAGCTTCCAGGTAGGTCTCTTTATGCTTTGGTTTTGATATTCCAAGTAATAATTTGTCTCAATTTATGACGATGAGGAAATAAATCAAAGAATAAGATAAATATGGTTGTGCCGTTGGTATTTACTGTATACTAGTTTCATGTTTGATACAGACAAATATTACAATTTAAACTGAATACATGTACTTACCATCCAGTATTTTCCAGATGCACTTCTTGAAATCCCTTTCTCTATTGTACCACATTAGCAGAAAGGCTGTAGGTAATAATGAAACTGTGTGTGTTTGATGTAGTGAAGGCTCTTGTGCGTCAGTATCAGCCGACTCCAGCCTCTGTGTCTGTGTAATATCACTCTATGAAATACGAGGCTCACTGATAAAGCCAGAGGAGGGGAAATCTCTGTTTTACCTTCCATTCCAATTAAACAACGTGTTTTCCTTCTGCAGAGCTCCAGAGACATAGAGAATAGACTGCGGAACGAGACACGGTTGAAGCTTTTCACACTGGACCCAGACACACAGGTACAAGGTCAAATGTGGAGTAAAGCTTTATGTCCACGTTACACAATCACAACTTCAGCTGCTGATGTCTGCTTGTTCCTGAGCGAGTTTGTCTGATGCAATGTATTCATGTTGTACTTCTTCATCTGTAGAAACTAGATTTCTCAGGAATTGAACTAGACGTGAAGCAGTTTGAAGAGAAGTTTGGCAAACGCGTCCTGGTGAACTGCAACGACCTCTCCTTTAACCTGCAGAGCTGTGTGGCCGAGAACGAGGAGGGTCCCACCACCAACGTAAGGCACTTGACAATTGATAATAATTATATTTTTGGGTTAACTAACTCACAGCAAGTTCTAAATAGTATGAACTGTGCATCACAGGTTTTTATAAATGCCATTATTTACTGCAACTAAAAAGTGGTATACAGTAAGGGTTGTTCATACTCAAGGGAACAAAAGTGTGACAGAAGGCCAAAAATCAGACTTTAATAATCAGAATTTAATAACCCTAACCCTGTCAATTAGTAGTTGCTAAAAGATCACTGTTTTATACATTCGTCAAGTTTATTTGTGTAGTAGAAGTGACTCTTATGAACTTAATCATGCACAAGTATAATAGCCGAGAACAAGGAGGGTCCCACCACCAACAAAAGACACTCCATGAGTTCAAACAAAAGACACAAAGATTATGCCAGATTATCCGCTTGATTACCGGCTGAAGTGCTGCTTATTCATCGTGGGCCGGATGCACTGGTTATTGTGGATGTGAAGAGATGTGTTGCCATGGCAGCACAGTGCATGTTTAGCATTAGAGTCCGTCTAATAGATTTTGATTTCCTGCCGTCCTCTTCACTGAAAGGGTTTATTAAACACCCAGAAACCATGACGCTAACAAAACACTGGTCTGCTTCGATGAAGCGTGGAGCTCCAGAGTTCTCTTGATAAACAGGGTCTTGTTTGTAACATTTTAGAATCTTGTATTCTTTTAGGCACCAAAGTATTGCTACAGAATTGCTATGTCAAGAAAACTTTCTATACAGCCACCTGACTTCCCACAAACATTTCCTTGCATTTTTCATTCATATTTTTCTTCTTTCTGATATTGATTAGTCCTCTCTCAAATACAGGTTCAGGCCTCCACTGTTCGTCTGGTTCACATCAAACTTCTGAGAAACTCCTGCAGGTTTTAACAACGCAATGTTTCTTCTTCTTCTTCAGGTGGAGCCTTTCTACATCACGTTGTCCCTGTTTGACATCCAAAATGGGCGGAAGATCTCATCTGACTTCCACGTAGACTTGAATCACCCGTCGGTGAGAGGCATGCTGCCCAGTAACACCAGTCAGTACATAAACGGCGGCGGGGACATCCATACTGAGGTGCGCCTGGTCCACGGAGTCCCAGAGACCGTCATGCAGTATCCCAGACAGGTGAGCAGTATCCCAGAACACAACTCCTGCATCATAGTTAGTGAAGAAATATGGCAATATACATATACAAAATATATACTGTATGTGTAAAAAATAAAGTCTTTAAAGTATTTTCGCATCCCAAGGGAGACATTATATTTTTTCTTGTCCCATTGGCCAAACTTTTTTAAAGGCAGGAGGGGGCCAAGGTACAGCTATTTTATATAATCAAATTTGAGTCCAAATTTGAGCCATTTTAGACTTATTTTTCATATTTTTTTACCCATTAAAAATTATAATGACCTACTTTGTTCTAGTTACTTTGTCACGTCATGTTTTAGAATGTGAAATAATATCTTAAGTAGAAAATGCATGGTGAAACAAGTATGAAGAGCAAAAAAAGGATTTCGGCCTGTAAATTCCAATGACACGTGTAGAATCAAGTGTAGGAATTGTTTTCTTTTTTCCCAGTTACCCGCTGTAACCACAAACGATGGTAAATAATTTAATTTCTCTTCAGAAATGGCAAAAACAAATTCATGGTCAGTTAAGTACCTATGTTTTAAAAGGCAGAAAATTGCTCTGAACGTGATGTCATAGTGGTACAGTACAATGACATAATACTATTACAGATTTTAGAGATTAGATGAGAGATTTTAGTCTGAAGGGGCAGAGTTAGCATTACAAGTTTTTACCAGACGTTCCTGACATTAGCATGGAATGGATAGATCTAAAAACCACTCCAAGTTTGTTTTTAATGAGTGATCAATTACAATTCCATCAGTGACATGTTAGTGCCATATGAACCAACTCGGACTCTGAGGAGTACAGGGACTGGCCTCCTGCTGGTGCCCAGAGTCAGGACATGGGGAGACTGCCTTTCAGATTCAGGCTGCTAAAATCTGGAACATTCTTCTTGAAAATGTGAGACAGGTTTCTTCTCTGACAGTGTTCAAATCCAGGCTAAAACAGTTCTGTTTTGCTGTGCATACAATGGAGGGATTTTACTTTTACTCTTTTTATTTAATATACATTGATTTTTTAAGACTTTATGGCCTTGTGTGACTGTATCTATCTTGTTTTGTTCAGCACTTTGAGGTCCCGTATGTATGAATTGTGTTATACAAATAAACTTGCCTTGCCAATGCTGTAAAATGGTTAAACAAAATAAATTGTTTTTGCACACTATCTTTTCTTCAATCTAAACTTTAAAAAACGTGTTGTTCTTTTCTTATCAGGGAGTTTTCTCGGTCACATGCCCACATCCAGACGTCTTTTTAGTGGCGAGAATAGAGAAAGTTCTTCAAGGAGGAATCAACCACTGCGCTGAGCCCTACATGAAGAACTCAGACTCCACAAAGGTACGGACCAGACCAAAACAAAACCTTTACATAACAGAGCCTCAGCAGATTCCTCCACACTCTACACTGATAAAGACTCCGTGTGCTGACCAGTCTCTCACTCAAAACAAGCATTGACCTTGGCTCCTGTTTGGGCCCTTTGGGGAGCACACTGGTAGTAATTCAATCATGTGGAGAGAAATGTATAATCCATTTTGTGCGGTCACATTGTTCAGAGCTGAGAGTGTGTCTGTCGATGTTGAAAGACAAACATGAACTAATAATACGTGCACTTCCCCTCTTCTCCACCAGGTGGCACAGAAGGTTTTGAAAAATGCCAAACTCGCATGCAGCCGATTAGGACAGTACAGGATGCCTTTTGCCTGGGCAGCGAGGTATGCTTTTTGATAATAATACTCTTTATTACTTCTTTTGTGAACTTGAAGCTGGGGTACCTAACTTTTTCTCATGCATAAGTCGTTTGTCATCAGTCACAATTTGACTGAGAGCTGTACAAATGGAACGCAACAAGATGCAGTATTCTTGTGAGTGACTATTTGACTAAGATGATTGGCTAAGTGCGGGCGGTCCTCTCTTTTCCTCACGTTTCTGTCTGAAAAAGCGGATCTAAAAATGGGATGGAGACCAAAAATAGATGCATGTATTCACCCTTTTATGATGAATATTCAACCGGTGGATCGCTCTTTGAGTCCCTTAATCTACTTGAAGCTTGGAACTAAAATTTACCTAATTGGTGCATCTCACATTTACCCACAAGCTGCATCCAAACCATTTGGTTATTAGTGTCCTACATTTTAGAAAATAAAAACAGGAAAAAAAATGACATTGCACTTTTATATAATATGTATTTTAGAAACTTTCACTTTTAATTAAATGTTTTGTAGTAACCTGCACTTTAAATTTGAACTGTATTAATATGCAAGTTATAAGGACTGCAGGTGGAAAGTAGCATGGGGCTAAATCTGGTGCAGCCATCTTTTTAATGCAATTGCACATTGTCCTTAGATATATCCAGCTTTCTTCAAGGAGTGACCATTAAAGAGTTAAAACCAAACTATTTTAGGACCAAGAACGAGTTACACAGATTATACTGCATATGTTAAAATAATGTAGGTGCTCCAGCTTTGAATATATGTAAATACATGACGAAAATGACATGTGTCTCTTTCTCCCAGGCCTCTGTTTAAAGACGCTTCAGGAACGCTGGATAAAGGCGCTCGCTTCTCCGCGCTTTACAGACAAGACGCAAACAAACTGAGCAACGACAACATGCTCAAACTGCTGGCAGACTTCAGAAAGTTAGTTTGCTTCTGTCTACTTTTACTTACAACACGTTTCATCACTTCGACTCTATATTTGAAGAGTTTTTGAACTGCTCTTAACCTAAAGCTCCTTTTTTCTTGTTTCTCTGTATTCCTCAGACCGGAGAAGATGGCCAAGCTGCCTGTAATCCTTGGAAATCTTGACGTTACCATTGACAACGTGGCCCCGGATTCGACGAGTAAGCTTGATAAGTCTCCGCCGTGTGCTGCAGACCCGGCTGTCCATGGGCTGTGTGTTTAGTCTGAGTTTGTGCTGCTGTTTTTAGATTGCGTTACCTCATCCTTCATTCCCGTGAAGCAGTTTGATGTCAGCGAGAAGGCCACCATTTTCTTTGAAGTGGAGGAGTTTATTCCCTGCTTAGCCAAATGTTCCCAGCCCTTTACAATCTACAGCAATCACCTCTACATCTACCCAAAGTACCTGAAGTATGACGGCCAGAAATCATTCGCAAAGGTATTCGCCACAAGTTCACAAGCCTCCGACTACAGTATGTCTGACCTGTGTTCTCTTTAGGCGAGAAACATAGCAGTATGCATTGAGTTTAGAGATTCAGATGAGGAAGACGCTGTGTCGCTAAAGGTAAGTGTTTAGTTTTAAAAATGTCTAATTACAACATGAATTACGCTTCATGTTGTTTTGTTGTTGTACACAGTGCATCTATGGCCGACCGGGAGGGCCGCTGTTTACCAAAAATGCCTTCGCTGCAGTGTTGCACCACCAGCAAAACCCAGAGTTTTACGATGAGGTGAATATAAACATGAATTATGCAGCACAAAGATTGTATAAATAAGGAATGTTCTTGTCAATAGATTCTCCATTCTCCAATGCCGATTATATTTAAATAGTTTTTTGTGGCCCCTGGCATGTATTTCAATTGTTACTGTTAACAAGAAGCATTGATCATAAGATCGGTAATATAGCTACCATGACATGTTATACATCATTATAAAGCTACACTTATCAAAGAATCAACTACAAACTGCATCACTCATTTTAACACTGACGTCAAACAGATATTTTTAGTTTGATTATGAATTTTCCCTATCAGTCTGCTATATCCAGCTTTTACCTTTTGTCCAGTTTTGGTTCCGTCCCAACTAATATTACTGTTAAGAAATATTTGCAAGAAAATAATACAATATTATGATCATATGTTTGACAAAATGATCTCCATAACTTACAATGTAAATAAAGAAAAGAAGCACAGATGCAAGGATTAGCTTCGAACAAATTCTACAACAAACAAATTCTCAAACAAATTCAAACTATAGATACTTTTAAAAGTATAGACAAAATAAGTAGTCGCTCCTAATTGACGTTTAATTCAACCCCTGAAAGATAAATGTTGACACACTTGATGAAGACTAAGAAATGTCTATAATGAACTACATACAGTACATATTGATTGTTTATCTTTCTCACAGTTTAAAATTGAGCTTCCAACTCAGCTCCATGAGAAACACCACTTGCTCTTCACCTTCTACCACATCAGCTGTGAGAGCAACAGCAAGGCCAGCACCAAAAAGAGGGAACTTGTCGAAACTCAAGGTAGAGTTTATGATAACCTACTTTTTAACCTACACCCATAGCAGCTGCTGGCTCTTATGCATCCTCCTGATTTGTCCGTCAGTGGGTTACGCCTGGCTCCCGTTGCTGAGAGATGGCCGTGTGATCATGAACGAAAGCCACATCCCAGTCGCTGCCAACCTCCCCCCTGGATACCTCAGCTGCCTGGAGGGGGCCAAGGTACAGCTATTTTATATAATCATTATGAAGGCAATCTACAGGTTTCTAAATGCACTGTATAATATGTTATAGCACACAAACTCAGAGGTCAAATGGGTGGATGGAGGAAAAACACTATTCAGGATATCAGCTCACTTAGTTTCTACAATCTACACTCAGGTTGGTAAAAAGTGATTCATGTTTTTGTATAAAAGCGATATTAACAGATCGTAAACTCTCTCTGTGTCTTTATTCAGGATCAACATTTGCACAATTTCTTTCATCACTGTCAGAGCCATAAATCTGCATCCCCGGTCTCAGGAGGACAATTAGTAAAATACCTAAAGGTAACACATTATTTATACTTCCGACCACATCGTGAGTCTGTCCTAGTCGTGGGAGTCCAAACTTTAGTTCACCAGACTAATATCCAAGAACCAAGGATTCTGAGCTATCCAATTGCATCTGATTTGTCCATATTGATACACAATGCTGTTTTTTGAGACCAAAAAAACAAAAACAGGATTATACAAATACAAATTTAAAAGGATTCGAGCTTTACAACGAGGTTCAGGGTGGCTATATTGGTGGAGCTGAGGTTGGCTGGATGACAATATGAAAGTGTCTCAATGGCTAGTGTAGGTTCGTGGAGTGAGAGGACAAATGTCCCCAATTGTAAACCGCTTTACTGGATTTATTACTAATCCAACTGCTGAATGTGAATGGACCCTTATGACACAAATATCACGGTAATACAACATTTGGGAAGATGGTCCATACAACAATCATCACATTCCCTCTGTCCTCTGTCACAGTGTCCAAGCCTACTCCACAAATGTGACCAAAACGTTAAATTGTGAAATAACCAATATAACATCTGGGCGTCGGTGTGTACTGTATATATAGTGTACACAGACTGTATAATGAAGTGAATCCTGCGGGTCAAACAGCAGGTCAGCAGTGCGGAGTGGCTGTTATCCAAATGACTTGGCAGAACAGGTCAGAGCTGATGCAAACTGCTGCATCAGAACATCAGGGGCCTGTCCCGGGCACTCAGGCATCAGGCCTGTGCTTATTAGATTTTATTAGATTGACTTCGACATGCGTCAGAGCGCACACAGCTCTTTGTCTGCCTTTAAGGACTATGATTTCCATTATTACCAGGCTAATGAAAGGATGTCTTTATTTGTCCCCTTTTATCCGGCGACATCAGAGTCTACATGCAATGGAGGCTCATGTAATGATCAAGTTCCTGCCCACCGTCTTGAATCAGCTGTTCCGGGTGCTGACCACTGCCACCCAGGAGGACGTGGCTGTCAACGTGACCAGGCAAGAATTTGTATTATCAAGAATATAATCTTATCTTTTTTAACAATTCAATATTTTTTTATTTTTAATATTATTATTTTTTTCAATTGAATTATGTTTTTTTCGATTCAACTATTTTTTGTATAGCCCTAAATCACAACAGTAGTTATCTTGGAGAACATTACAAAGTTGTCAATTCACCAACACAGATCAGAGAATCAAACAGTTCAATTACAGGAAAGCAAAGATAAAAACACAGAGTCATTGGTTCATAAGGAGCGCTTGTTGTATGCTCAAAGACGCTTTACAAAAGAAAAATAAGAAACTAAAATAAAAAGCTTAAAATAAACAGTTAAGTGTAGGCAGTTTGGAACAGGTGGGGTTTTTTTCATGCATGTTCTTTTTGTAAATATTTACTAGATATATATATAATTGTATTCATAATATTATCAATATTATTAATGAATTTGTAACAATTTTTCATGTATTTTATTATTTATTATTGTGTTCATTTAGACGTTTCTTTTCTCTTAGGGTCATGATTCATATCGTCGCCCAGTGCCATGAGGAAGGCTTGGATCATTACTTGAGATCTTATGTGAAGGTACAGTCCAACACAACATGACGTCGCTCCATCTGTTCTGTTTTTTTAACCTGCTTATAATAATGTGTTTACGGTCTTTTAGTACGTATTCAAGACTGAGCCATTCACGTCAGCCAACGACAGAACCATCCACGAGGAGCTGGCCAAAGCCATGACGGCCATCTTGAAACCCTCCACTGACTTCCTCACAAGCAACAAGCTGCTGAAGGTAAAGCCTTTGTTTGTTTTTTTACCAGATGTATTCACTGTGATATTATAAATGATTTGTCTCTAATTCGGATCTGCTGTGTCTTGTAGTACTCCTGGTATTTCTTTGAAGCTCTGGTGAAGTCCATGGCTCAGTATTTGATTGAGAGCTCTAAGGTGAAGGTACGTTGATTTGAGGATTATAATATTGTCCTATAATCAAACTTATCAAAGGAACAAGCAACAACAAAACTTTTCTTTTCATTATAATTGTACGTTGTTTGTCCAAGAGTCTTGTAAAAGTGAAATATTACAAATAAAATCACACAGGATTTTTTTTTGTAATTTGTCTTCATATTATTAGAAATAATTTTCTAATAATAATAACTTTTTTTTGCATTTCTAAAAGAGCCCTGAGAGGAACTATTTGACAAATTGGGCTGAGAGCTGATTGGCTGAGTGAGTTTAAGATGTGACTGATGAAGGAAATCCATGCAGTGATATAACTTAAGAGAAATTAACTAATTATTTTAGAATTTATGACAAAGTTCAATGTGTTGTGGTTTCAAAGTTTAGGTACCCCAACTTTAACATAAAATAGCAAACAAAATCTTGCTCACTTCAAATTAGACTAATTCTACTGGCTCTATCTCTGTCTGTATGACCCATATATTCAAATTCTAATTTATTCTAATTTAATAAACAAGTTAAAATATTGTTTCTGTTATAAATAAATAAATAAAATCAAAAATGTTTCTGTTTCAGCTTTCGAGAAATCAGCGTTTTTCTGCACCCTTCCATCACACTGTGGAAACTCTGGTCAATATGATGATGCCACATATCACCCAGAAATACAAAGACAACCTGGATGCAGCCAGAAACGCCAACCACAGCCTCGCCGTCTTCATCAAGGTAAACAGAAAAGAACACACCAAAATGATTAATATTAGTTGCTGAATTTAGAGCCGAGGTGTCCCAGGACCAGTCCCTCCAGTGTCCTTTATGCTAAAGTTGGAGATTTTGGATTAGCTTCTTTACTATGCTAATGCTATAGATTTTATTTAATTCAATTTTAGTATTTAGTTTAAGTTTTAGTTTAGTTTAGTTATTGTTCATTTATCTTGTGTTGTGTAATCTTAATCTTTAATCCATCACACATGTTGCAGAGATGTTTTAATCTCATGGACAGAGGCTTTATCTTCAAGCAAATCAACAATTACATGAACTGTTTTGTGCCCGGAGACCCGAAGGTAAAGCGCTAATGAAAAATATAGTTGTAGTTATAGATGATAAGTAAGTTGCAAAGTAGCATTGGTTAAATTTGTTTTATTTGCAGACGCTGTTTGAGTTCAAGTTTGACTTTCTCCGCGTAGTGTGCAACCATGAACACTATGTGCCACTGAACTTACCCATACCGTTTGGAAAAGGAAGGATAATGAGATTTCAAGGTGAAGACTGCTTCTGTTTAAACACATCGATAAACCAACTTTTAAACATTTGATTATATATGAAAAGGTGTTTGAATGCACCCTTTCTGTGTGTTTCTGAATTAGCTGTATTGTCTCAGTGCGATACAGTGGACTCTCATAGTGCAGTAGGTAGGTGGCTGCAACCTGTATGTTATCTCACTTAAAGCTGGGCAACCTAACTTTTTTTCCCTCATAAATAATCCATGTTGAAAGAGTTGTGTAAAAATCAAATGTTGGCCCGAGCCCCAACTGGGGTCGCCCAGGCATTACTCGTTGTAACTGTCATAAGTCACAATCTCAATTGTGACCTGCACGCGACGGCATGTGCCCAAACACTGACAATCACGGAATGGCTTTGCTCCTGCTGTCGTACACAGTGAAATGAATGGAGTCCTATGGGGGGGGGGTGGTCAGTTTACATTGCGCCTATGGGAGCGGGTCGGAGGTCAAGTTTGTCGTAGAGAAACGAAATTCGTACACATGTTCCTCAAGTCAAGACATGAAAAAAAAGTTGTTACGGCTCCGCCCCCTGACAAACAGGGAGCTCATTAATTTCAATGGAAAAATTTAAATTGAGCTTTTTCACACAAAGCGAATCCTCCTCGGCCGTTTCAACGATTTCCATCAAAATCGCTCCACATGGTCTAAACACATGTACCATCAATAGTTGATCATAGAATTTGGATCAGTTAAACATTGTTATAGCAGCGGAGCGGCAAAATGGGACATTTTCTTTTCAATTTTTGACAAAAGCAAATTTGCTCCCGTTTGCACAAACCAAGCCGGATGTTCACCAAATTTTAATCCATTGTTCAGCTCCAGGGTCCAGGTCATGGCTAATTAGTGCCCCCTACAGACTACTATGTCAAAGATTTACATGGGCTTTTTCCAATTTAGTTTTTTCAAAATGTTTGAAATTTTGCACATAATTCTGTATTGTCATTTGGATTCAAAAAGTCAATGACAACATACGAGTAATTTTTACCCTGTTGCCGTGGCGACAACAAACACTCCATTCTGTGTCTATGAGAAAATCGTTAAATTTCTGAAATGTACACCTCAAACATCAAACCAGCCGCGGCCATTTCACTAATTTGCCTGAAAATCGCTCCACATCGTTTCAACACATGGACCATCAATACATAGAATTGCGATTAGTCTAAAGGTCTTCGCGTGACAGACTCCCAAATTGTGGTTATTTTCATAGAGAGGTGTGAAGTTCCCATGTGAGGTGGAGACTGTGGACACACTCACAGATTGTATGTGCAAACAGGAGCACATTTACAAACTCTGATTAGCACTAAACTTGACTCGGTTGTTCAACTCCTGGGCCTAGGTCACATGACAGTGTAAACAATGACATTGGCCCATTATCGCCCCCTACAGGCTGAGTAAAGGTTTTACATGGGGATCAAGGTATTTAGGTTTTCTGTTGTTTGATCTCATATTTGACCCACTAAACAAACACAAAAACTCACCAAACTTTGCCACAAGTTTTTTTCAGGCATGAAATGTATTATTTTGGTGTTCTTTGGAATAAGACTAAACTATTTAATTTGTAGGGGGTGCTGTTGTACAACATAAATGCCCGTCATTTGCACCTACAAAGTCCGATTTGCACAAAATTTGAATTGATTGTTCAACTCTTGGGTTTGAGTAAACTGAAAATGTGAATTATGAAATTGCAGCATTAGCGCCCCCTATAGACTGAGTCAAGTTAAACATGGGCAGAAAGATTGATCAAAATGTTTGAACATTTTGAACATAATTCTGTTTTGCCATCCTGATTCAAAAACTCAATTGATTCTTACTTTGTTGCCGTGGCGACGACAAACACTTCCCAGTGTGTGTCAATAGTATAATCAAAGAGACACAGAATCTCTGATCATAGGCACTCAAAATGCACAGTTTTGCTCCCATCAGGGCTGCAGGAAGATGGCACGTCAGCGCCACCTCCTTTAAGCGGTGCGGCGAGGGCCATTTGACGCCGCTTGCGGCTTTAATTTATGTTTATTTTTCTAGAAAACTGTTGCATACATCAGAATCATCAGAATTACTTTTAAGGATTTCTGGGTAACAGGAAGTCACAAACTAGACATTTCTTTGGCTCTCAGTGCAAACAAGTTATAAAAGTAACTATAGAATAATATGCATAAAAATAAAAATGAATAATCATAAAAATAAATAAAACATCTGGACAGCTATGTTGTTCCCTGGTGTCTTTTATTCACAGACCACGATAGTAAAGTTACCTGAAACCTTCATCTTTTTAGAATTTTTTTTACTTTTTGCATACTTGTAAGAGCCCTGAGAGTCATTTGAGAGCTGATTGGCTGAGTGACTGAGTTCCTCTGTTTTTCACTTTTCTGGCTAAAAAAGCTGATCTGAAGAGGCCAAAATACATACAGTACATGTGTAAACTAGTGGTAGAACCAAACCACTTTCAGAGGAACTGATGAGAGACTTAATTACATGGTTAAATTGTTTGTGAGTTTGAAGTTGGTTACCCAAGCTTTAAAAATAAATAACATTGACCCAAGGAATGATTAAAATGGATTGAATCAACTTGGCCTGATTTGGAACGTTTTGAACCTTCCATTTCTGACTTTTAGATGTTAACTTTATGTTTGATGTTTCTATAGCCCTACAGCTCTAATGCATTTGTCCATAATAATTAAAGCTGACATCCCTCGCTGTCAAATCTGTCAAATGTCAAAACCCTTCACTCTTTGTCCTTTTTGAATGCTGATGAAAAATGACTATGACGTGAATTTCCCGTTATCTAGAACTGGCAGTTTGTGTTTTGAATGTAATTTACTTGTTTAATACACCTGGTTCACCATGTGTCCCTGGTCCTGACAGACTTCCAGCTGGACTACTCTCTAACAGACGACTTCTGTAAAAACCACTTCCTGGTGGGACTGCTTCTGCGTGAGGTCTGTGCGGCGCTGCAGGAGTTCAGGGAAATCCGTCAGATCTCGATCCATGTGCTGAAGAACCTGATGATCAAACACACTTTTGATGACCGCTACACCTCCAAGGTACCACACACTGAGCCCTGATAGTGATTGTTTTTGTGTTGCCTTCTTGAAGATGACCCTGTACTGTAGCTTATTAGTTCTTTCAGTTTTATTACTGTACTTTTTACTTTGTCATATTTATGTAGTTGACTGGTGCACACTGGGGAACTTTGCAGTTGTATTCCAATGGGGTTTTACTGCAAATTACAAATAATCTGAATCTGAATCTGTATTTCAGAGCCAACAAGCCAGACTGGCCACGCTTTACCTCCCCTTGTTCGGCCTGCTTCAGGAGAGCGTCAACAGGCTCAATGTGATAGACGTTTCCCCCTGTATCGTCAATCATTCTAACAATGTAAGGGCGCCATCTAGTGTTCGGATTATACATGACGATAAGGCGAGGATAGCATGAAGACTTTTGGGGTGGTATATGAATGTCTAAATTAGTTAAATGTTTTAAATTTAGTATAGACATGTTTTAAATTAACATGTTATTGATTCTGCTGTTGCTATTAATTATGCTGTGTGTATATGTCTTTCTATGGTGTATTTTTGTTTTAACATTTCTGAATTTTTTGTTTTAGCATATTTTGATTTTGTTTGTACATTCATTTTTCATGTCAACGTGGCATTGATGAGTACATAGACCTTAGGAAGAAGAGCTACTGTATATTTTAGTAGCTAATGGGGATCTAAATATAAACAAACAAACAAACAAGAATTATAGAAGATTGAAATAGATTAGATTATAAGAATATAGAAAGAAATACAAAATAGGAGCTATACCAATTAAACCATTTTTCAGTAAATGTTGTACATATGTAATACTACAATTTTTCTGACTTTATTGATTGAATGTCTGCTTGTAATTGAACATTATTTATGTGTATGTGTTTTAGAACGGGAAAGAGGAGTCTGTCTTCACAAATGCTATGACGACCCCTCCCAGATCCAGCACATTTATGGACACCAGTTTGCACAAAGATGTTTTTGGAGCCATCTCTGGTGACTGTCTTATTATTTCTTTGTAATATTATTGTTTTTCATTAAATTAACAGCAAAACTGTTCTCATAGCAGCCTCACCTCACACCGCGTCCACTCCCAATATTTCCCTGGTTCGAAATGCAGATTCCCGAGGATCTCTCATCAGCACCGACTCTATGAACAGTCTGCTGGAGCGGAGCAACGATAAAAGCAACTCACTAGACAAGGTACAACACAAGGTACATCACAAAAAAGAATACAAGGATTATTACCTCAAAGACATGAATGAATAGAACATTATATAGTGCGTTTGGTATCTTTAAAGTGCTATATGAATCCAATATAATAATTGTATTGAATTTTACTACAGCATACATACATACATACATACACACACACACACACACACACACACACACACACACACACACACACACACACATTATAATTATATATTTAATGGCACAGTTAATATCATTGAAGAATAATAATAGTTTCAGTCATACCTAGCTTGGTTTAGTAATGTAAATGTGAAATCCCCAGCAAGGTCCATGTAGTGCCTCAACTTAGCCCAACCCTGGAATAATATGTTTTGTTTAACCAAAGCCTCTACTGTACGGCTTTCTGCAGAACCAGAACACAGCCTCAGTAGGAAACCCGCTCTTGAGAGGCGACAAACTGGATCAGACGGAGATCAAGAGCCTGCTCATGTGCTTCCTGCATGTGCTGAAGAGTATGTCTGAAGGTAAGCACACGCATACACATAAACAACCTTTATATGGAGTTAAATCATCATAGAATATAATCTATGGTCTGTCTTTAGATGCTCTGTTCACGTACTGGAACAAAGCCTCTGCTGCTGATCTGATGGACTTCTTCACCTTGTTAGAGTGAGTGATCTAAGCTGCTGTGCTGTTTGTATTGTAAAAAATATATTCATAATTTATTGTGTTTTTTGTTCATTCTCAGAATATGCCTTCATCAGTTCAAATACATGGGGAAGAGATACATAGCAAGGTAAAGTAGTCAATAAATACCAAAATCAAACTGTTTTTATGTTTTTCTTGACTGTATGTTTCCCTGTACAAATACAAATATAACTCCTGACAACTCCTGGTGATTTCAGTAACTTAATTGTATTTTACTGTATCTGCGTCTCAAGAATTTATATTAATTCTGTTCAACCAGTAAGCAGTGAGGGTGAGAGTGAGCGGGTCTAACTGGTGCTTGCCTTGGAAAAAACTGTCTCTCTCCTCCATGGGGCTTTCTACACAATTAAAAATGTAACTTTAAAAGCACTAAGCTCATTACATTTTGATTATGCTGAAAAACTTTCAAACCTCATATTTTAGGACAAACAAGTACGTTTACTATATGTATACACAGAATACATTTAATCTTTTATTTGTATGTGTGTCTTTGGAATAGTATACTAGTGACACAGATGTTGTAAATGAATTGGCCACTAGGTGGAGCCACGATACTGTCTCAGAGGATGATATATAGTCATAGTAATGTGGTAATGTGGTTGCATTTATAACCACATCCTTACATTTAGAACAGTCTGTGGAACTTCGCCGAGGGTCTTGTAGGGCACTTTGGGTTTATATTTACTAACTCCTCACTACTGTCTTTACTTCTGTCCACCTAAACGCTGACAAGTTTAACATAATGAAATAAAGCTGGCTCCTGCCCTCTCCTGCCTGGGTAAGAACAAAGGTGCAGCCCACACAAGCGCATGTGCATGTTTTCTTGTTTTTTTTCCCCTTGTTTAGCTGTTTTGTTTCTAGTCACATGCATGGATTGGATTTACAGCCTCCTTATGCACCTAATCTTTGCATCTCATGAAAAGCTTTCTAACATACTGGTGGTTGTTTTAGTGGAAGAGGGATTGTATGTGTGTGACATTGGGCTGTTTCGTCCTCAGGAACCAGGACGGGGCAGGACCTGTAGCACATGAGCGCAAGTCTCAGACCCTCCCTGTGTCCCGTAACAGAGCAGGAGTGATGCATGCGCGTTTACAGCAGCTCAACAGTCTGGACAACTCCTACACTTTCAACCACAGTAAGTGAACCAGACAGTATCAGCCCCTACAAACTAAACTGGCCTTTCTGTGATTCCTGTTGACATAATAAAAACAATTTAAAATAATAATTTATTTAATTTATTTTATTTATTGTATTTATTTTATTTATTTTATTTATTTTATTTATTTTATTTATTTTAATAGGGACAGTACACATAAAATCAACAGCTAGTTTCCAACTGTCGTCCCGAGGCAAGGTGTTTTAAGCCAACAAAAAGACATTACAATATAAAATTAACCAGCTAGAATGAGTTAAAACATTACAAGTTAAAACAGTTCATCAAAACATATAAAAACATTACAATATAAAATTAACCAGCTAGAATGAGTTACTTAAAACAAAACAAGTAAAAACAGTTAATTAAAACATATAAAAAACATTATATTTCTGATCTAAAAGTTGTAACCTAATCTCATATTGCCTTTAAGCATATATGCTTAAATGTCTGAGCAATTTTTTCTTAAAAAATTGTTTTGGTCCATGTTAAGCCAATTCCAGGGAAGTTAAATTATGAAGCATGTCAATAAATGGTCCACATATTGTACCGTATCTCAATATTTAATATTTGTGGATTCTGATTTATGCTAAAATGTATCAATGTATTCAGTATGATGGCGTCAAAAGCTCCTTCATTTGATCTAAAGAAATAATCTATTAATCTTAAAAAATATGAAAAAGAATTTGGAAATAGAAAATTATGATTAAGAGATCCTTTACTTCTGCCTGTGGGGAAATTTCAGTGTTGCATCACCGGTTACAGAACAGTAGGAATGAGGAGCACACAAAACTAGCCTGGCCTTAGCCATCCGTAAACTCTGGTCAATTATCATTTCCCTACATGTACGAAATGAAATGAGTACGATGGTGTGATAACACCAGGCTAACACAACACAGCATATATGAACTCTTACTAAAATCTATAACTTTAGCATTAAGTATGTTTAGCATAAAGTAGAAAGTAGTAAGTCTCCATCTTTAGCATCTAAAGAAGCAAACATACAGTAAGTATTTTGTCCTCTCTCAGATGTTTTTTAAAATATTTTTCTGTTTCAACTGTCATTGTCGTGTACATGTGCGGTATATGCTACATGATGCTTGTGCTAGTGTGTTTAATGAAGTGTTGTGCTTTTCCCCGCAGCGTATAGTCACTCAGATGCAGATGTGTTAAACCAGTCGCTCCTGGAGGCCAACATTGCCACTGAGGTCTGCCTTACTGTCCTGGACACACTCAGCGTCTTCATCATGGGGTTCAAGGTAATACCACCTCTGATATTGTCATGCTTTTCAAATCCATGTTATGACCTTCATTTTCTATGCACAGACACAGCTATGCTCAGACCATGGCCACAGTCCACTTATGAAGAAGGTTTTTGAAGTTCACCTCTGTTTTTTGAGGATCAACCAATCAGAAACTGCACTGAAACAAGTCTTTACCTCTCTGCGCACTTTCATTTATAAGGTTTGTACAAGAACATTGTGTAGCAACAACTACAACAATGTCAAACAACATTAATGGACATTTATCAACATTTATGCACAGTGGTTATCTGCCCTAATAGACCAATGGCTGTGTGTGTGTGTGTGTGTGCATTTCCTGTGTGTGAACGGTTGGATTCTCTGATTTGTGTCGGCGAATTTTTACAGTTGTGTAAAGTCCTCCGAGATAACTATTGTTGTGGTTTAGGGCTATACAAAAAATATGTTGAAATGAGTTATATTAACGCTAGCACTTCTCCTCTAGTTTCCCTGCACTTTCTTTGAAGGGCGTGCAGACATGTGTGCCGCTTTCTGCTATGAAATCCTCAAGTGTTGCAACTCCAAGCTGAGCTCTATACGCAGCGACGCGGCTCATCTGCTCTATTTCCTGATGAAGAGCAACTTTGACTACACCGGCCGCAAGTCTTTTGTCCGAACGCACTTACAGGTTTGACATTTTGTATAGCCATCATCACTGATCCACAGTATATAAACATATTACAGTATACAAACGTGTCTCGTTCACAGGTGGTGATAGCTGTCAGTCAGCTGATCGCAGATGTCATTGGAATAGGAAGCACCCGGTTCCAGCAATCGTTGTCAATTATTAATAACTGCGCCAACAGTGACAAAACTATCAAGGTCAGAATGACACTGTTTTCCATATGTTTACAGTGAACCAGTTACTTTTCAAAATGTGAAGAGAGAGTGAAAACTTTTTTGATGACAAGCACTGGTTAGACCCGCCCATGCTCCCCCCTGCAGCTGCCTGATTAGTCAAAAATAACACAAAATAAATTAACCTTTATTTGCAGTGTAAATTATATACATATCTGGCAGGATAATCAGTAGATAAAGTGACATTCAGTGGACATTGCGAAATCGCAGTATTGCACATGATTTCAGCATTTACTATTTACAGAGGAGATGGCATGACATGTACAGGCTCAGCAGTTCTCTTTGTACAGTCTGACAGCAGCAGATAGAATATTCATTATTATTCATTAATGATTTGAGGCCCTTCATTGTTGGTTTAACTATTCTCCTCCAGCAAAATCTTTGTGGTCATAGTTCTGCCAGAGGGGAGGGACTGTTTTAAATATATTATTGTTAAAGAATAATGTACATAATAGTACAGTACAGTACAGTAAAATTACATACAATGGAAGTATTTAAATCACAATTTCTGTATTTTAACGTGACTCTGATCCTCTACATCAGAACACAGCTTTCCCATCGGACGTAAAGGACTTGACTAAGCGCATCAGGACAGTGCTGATGGCAACAGCGCAGATGAAGGAGCACGAGAGAGACCCAGAGATGCTGGTGGACCTGCAGTACAGTCTGGCCAAGTCCTATGCCAGTACTCCAGAGCTGCGTAAGACCTGGTTAGACAGCATGGCCCGCATCCACGTGAAGAACGGAGATCTCTCTGAGGTAGCTGCTCTCTCAAAGGTACAAATGAATTTACTTATTACTTATTTACTGATCCATTCTGTTCATTTACAGGCGGCCATGTGCTATGTGCATGTGGCAGCACTGGTAGCAGAATACCTAGAGAGAAAAGGTATCTGTGTGTTGTGATTGTATTCTGAGGTGTTTTTAACTTGGGTTTTAAGGCGGTAGAATTAAACAAATACTCCATAATCTCCTGCAGGCATGTTCAAACAGGGTTGTTCAGCTTTCCGTGTTGTGACTCCAAATATCGACGAAGAAGCAGCAATGATGGAAGATGTCGGGATGCAGGACGTCCACTTCAATGAGGTGTTTGTCTGCTCAGTTCCTTCAATTTATGGAGATTTATCAACACTTATGGACATTGGTCATCTGTCCCTGATGGACCAATACCAAGTTTTGTTCTGTTGTATTTCTTGTGTTTGATTCTCTGATCTGTTTTGGCAAATTCAACAGTTTTGTAAAGTCTTCTGAATAACTGTTGTGATTTAGGGCTATACAAGAATACATTGAATTGAATTGACAATCTTAGCTGTTTCCAGGGCAACAACATAGTAAAATATTTTGTGATGTTTTGTTCCATGTAAGCAAATCTCTAACTACGCTAAGACATGTCTCACTGCTGCCCCCTTCAGGACGTTCTGATGGAGCTGTTGGAGGAGTGCGCAGACGGACTGTGGAAAGCAGAGCGCTACGAACTTATTTCTGATATCTACAAACTTATAATCCCCATTTATGAGAAGCGCAGGGACTTTGAGGTAGATCTTATTCCTTGTTTAGATGTTTACTTTCTTTACAAGTCCTAATACTAATAATAATGTTATGGTGTTACTGCACAGAAACTCGCCCATCTGTACGACACACTCCATCGGGCCTACAGCAAAGTCACAGAGGTCATGCACACTGGAAAGAGACTATTGGGAACCTATTTCAGAGTGGCCTTTTTTGGTCAGGTAAATATCAACAACATTGTACTATCTGATCATTAAATAGCCCTAGGCCTGCATGTACTTTTACAGTATATAAAAAATAAAATGACAGTTAGCTGCGTATAATAATTGACCCCTATTTACTTTTGTCTTCTTCAAAGGCTGCGGTAAGTTGTGCAAAAGTCCTGCTTTGTGCTTTGCTGCTGATTTTTACTCTACTACCCAGCCACTATTTAATTCAATTCTTTGTTTACAATATCTAATCATACACGGCAAAAAATGATGAAACATGAGGTAATAATTGCTTGAATCAAGTGGTTTTTTTATCTTAATTTGAGCACATTTTGAGCACATTGATTTATTTTATCATTCTAAGATCAAAACAAGATAATTTTTCTTTGTCCCATTGGCAAATCTTGTTTTAAGGCAGTCAGAATATGCTCAAATCAAGAAACTTTTTGCCAAATGGTTCACTTATTTTTCATCACTTTTTGCAGTGTAAATACTGTATTGCATGGCTCTTGTCTGGCTCTGATGCGGTTTTATTTTCTGCCCACTAGACAAACATGTTTTGTGTATAACATGTGGCTTTCTCTCAGTGTGCGGTGTCATTATTGTCTTAACACTCTAAAGCTCTCCTGGTCTTTGCAGTGTACTGAGAATTTTGCTGTTCATAAGTGACATTGCATTTTTTCCCCATTCTCATAGCATTACCAGTTTACTGATTCAGATGTGGAGGTAAATCAGTGCTGTTGCAGTTAGTTGTCTGGAGTGAACGTTTACCCACCCAGGCAGAAAAACTGATATAATCGAGGGAATATTTTTTGGAGATTTTGAATAATTATGCTTTTTTCACTCTCCTTCAGTTTTTATTTGTGGTTGTGTGAAGCCCCTTGTATATAATGTATTTTTAAATTCACAATACGACAATATCCAAATGTGCCCCCTTGAGAAAATAATTAGGTGGATTTAAACCTGTTATTCAGTTGCTTTTATTAGTGTTATATGTGTGTTACTCTACACAAGATCACATTGTCCATACTCAGTCCTTTCATAAGCACGGCGCCTTATAGAAGGACTGGAGTCACCTCTGGACGCTGACCTTGTAGTTGTTGTTCTGTATTTTCACTTAGTGCTGGAGGTGTCAGTCCATTAAGTATGTTGTATATGGAATAAGCAAAATGTCTCAAAAAATAAATAAAAACATCTCAAAATGAAGGAGATTCTTAAATGTGACAATACAAAATGAACAATTCTCCTATCGAACATCTGAACACCAGCTTGTGGTAGTTCCTATAAATTCCTGGGTCGCCTTGCTTGAACTCCACTTTTGAGATCTCCCAGGAGCGGCCCAGTGATGCTATCAATTCAAAATATAAACATGTTTATTTGACAATCCATATTATTATTCATAATCTCCAAAAACAAAACAATGACATTTCTGCCTGGGTGCACAACTGTATTAGGTCATTGATGTTTAACTAATAAAATAAAGCTAACCTTTAGTTTAGAGCAGGGGTGCCCAAACCTTTTGCTTCCAAGGGCCAAAGTAAAAATTTGCCAGTGGGCCGCGGGCCAAATACACCAATATTATGCATGAAACACAAATAAATGTAGATTTGATCAAGTTCAATTAAATGCATTAATTATTGTCTATCAGTGCAAATCACAGCTGAATGAATTAAATCAACACAGTCTTAGTGAAGTGGAGACTCCAGGGAAATATGCAGGTTTGAGGAGACTACAGTACGGAAAGATTCCGGTCGGGTAATCAGGGTCCAGAGGAGGGAGATTTTCTGTCATGGCTTATTTACAGCTTAAAATCATATAATAAAACCTCAAAAAGAGAACAGAAACATACATTTTGTGTGCACCATGTGCACTTGTATATTGTAAATAGTAACTGTAACTCTATTTTAAATTTAAATGTATTCCTTAGAAGTGTTTTTTATTCTTTTTTTATTATCTTTGTTGCACTGAGCCAAAGCAATTTCCAAGTCTATTTTCATATATTTATTTTGAACAAAAGTTTTTAACTACATTTGAATCATATTACTTTATCTTAGCTTTTATCAAAAAGGGGAGACATCACTGATCAATAGATCTGGTTTTAGCACACTTTTAAACAATACATTTTAACATTAAGTAATGAATTTGGGAACATAATTACTAACTGCATTTTCTAAACATGATCAGGTTTTAACTCTGTTTTAACATAGGGCAAGTATTCTCAATTAGTAGTGAACTGAATATTAAACTAACAAAATCAGACTAGTTAACCATGATTTTTTCCTGGAGTTTTGTTTTGTTTTGCCTAAACACAGTACAACATTTATTCAAAACAAAGTAACTGTTAAAGAGTCCGAGTTTCCGCTCCTCCAAAGGGCTCTTGAACGCATCATAAAACTCCGCGTAAGTTCTGACATTCAATGATCGCGAGTGAGGACGGCGCTTACCGGCTTCTTTCATGGGGCTGTAGAAGGGTTTGTTTTGCGCAGTATTTGTTGCTTCTACTTGCGTGGATCGTGCGCTGCGATCCCTGCTTGTCCTGCTTGAACTCACTCTGAAGTGTTTGTGTTCGTCCTTTTTAACACACCGGGTGGGTGCGGATTGCGCAGGTGAATAGTTCCACTCGCCATTTCCCTCCGGTGAGGAGGGGGAGTGGCAGTTCGCCAGCACAATCCTCTCAATTTGATAAAACATTAAATAGCTCCAAAAAATAATAATAGTAGGCTGAAAAAAAACCATAAATGGGCCTTGCACCCAATTGTTTTGAAAGATGTGTTTGATTTTAAAAAACATTTTAGTGCAAGTTGATGTGAACCATGATTGAGGAGTGTATCTCGATACAACACTAGAAGTACTGGACAGTCGTAATTCAGAGGGCGACTATGCGCCCGCTCAACCTCAGACATGTCACTGTAAATACAGCGAGGCTGAGAGACGCAGATAGAAACTTATAGCAGAGGTGGGCAATGTTTGGCGGGCCAACTGAAATGGTCTGGCGGGCCAACTTTGGCCCGCGGGCCCCACTTTGGGCACCCCTGGTTTAGAGTTATAGCACAGCCCTAAACCTGCAATACACTACTCCATGTAGTTAGACGCATTGCTCACTAATTTGGACTTGGGGAAATGAGGCTTGTATATTTCCAGCTCATGTGTTTGTAGATAGTGGTCTGCAGGATGTGCTGCTTCTGTGCTTGGGTCAGAGTTAGACATGCTTGGCTTAGATCTACCTATCGGCTGTAGGTATCTGTGTCTACTGCATTCATTCTAACTGTTGATACTATTTCCAAGGGCTTTTTTGAGGATGAAGACGGCAAGGAATACATCTACAAAGAACCCAAATTCACCCCTCTTGCTGAAATATCCCAACGACTGCTGAAGCTGTATTCTGACAAGTTTGGACCAGAGAATGTAAAGATGATTCAGGATTCTGGCCGGGTAAGAACGGAACCCATTTAAAGCTGGGGTACCTATCTTTCAAACCTCTGCGGAGAGAACTATGTAATACAATCAGGTTGCTCCTATCACTCCAGGTGTAACGATGAAAATTAGAATATATTTTATTTAGGGCCAATTATGAACATCATTACAAATAAACGTGAAATAAGTTTTTAATTTATTAGTTTCACGTTTTAAGTTGAATTACTGAAGTAAATTATAATTTTTTGAGCTTCACCTGTATTTGACTGGTTTTTCACATGCATTTATATATAATTTTAGCCTCTGTTATATCTTTAGATCAGCCTTTTTAGACCAAAAAGTTAAAATAAGAGCAGACTACCCTCACTCCAGCCCAAATTGTCAAATAGTGACTCAGATGCAGCAGATCTATTAAGATGAAGGCCGCATGTCTGACTTGTTCACAACCTTTTAATCCCACACGACTCTGTGTTGGTACATGTAGTATTTATGACGAATTAAAGTTAGGTACCCCAGCTTTATTTTAATATGCTCTTATCCGTATGAGTAATAACAATGGTGCGTTTGTAGATTAACCCCAAAGACCTGGACTCCAAATACGCGTACATCCAGGTGACGCATGTGACGCCGTTCTTGGACGAGAAGGAGGTGGGCGACAGGAAGACGGAGTTTGAAAAGAGCCACAACATTCGCAGATTTGTTTTCGAGATGCCGTTCACCGTCTCGGGCAAACGTCAGGGCGGCGTGGAGGAGCAGTGCAAACGCAGGACCATACTGACCAGTAAGGCCAAGTTACTTTCACTTTCTGTCAATGAAGCTGAATAGGGAAGTGCTCATGGCTCACACTCAGCATTTTGGGCTTGAAAATATCTGGTTTAGCACTTTATAAGATGCAGGTTTTTTTTTTATATATTCATTATTTGTATGATCTTTGTTATCATTTTGATGATTACAGCGGGCACTTTTTTGTTTTATTTGGGTTTTTACACCGAGCCATCTATAAACATAATAGCTATAACTTTGCATTAGTACACATACTTTAGTTTCACATTGTTGAATTACAGAAGTAAAATTTTCCAAGTTTTTGAACAGTTGAAACTTAGATATTATATATTTTATATCTTATCTTTACATTGTTTAATTCCCACACTGTACAATATTATTTGCAAAGCGGTTACATCTCTATGGAGACAGCAGGGACCATTTAAGAGTTAATGTTTTTTTCAGGTGACTTCATGTAAGTCAGTACAATCAGTAATACCCTCGATAAGAATCAGAAAGTGTCAGCCTTTTGTCAAGGGTCTCTTCTAATCACATGTTTTATTGTTTTATGGTTCTCGTGTTCCAAAAGTTCAAACCTGTCATATCTTTACGGCCCCTTTTAATACTTCAACAGCACTTACCATGTCTTATAACTGCTCAAAAACTATTCATGGCATCTTTTAATTGTAATTGTTTGTAAGTAAGTAAGTAAGTAAGTAAGTATTTATTTATATACCGCCTTTTCACTGCAGATCTGAGTCTCAAAGCGGTTTACAATTGTTAATTTTTGGGCATTTGTCTCTCACTCCACACAGAGATGGGAGCGGGGCCAGTACAGGAGGCGCATGCCAGAACTATTGGACATATTTTTAGTGGTAGGGGAAACCGGAGTACCCGGAGGAAACCTACGCAGACACGGGGAGAACATGCAAACTCCACTCAGAAAGGCCCTGGTCCGACCGGGATTCGAACCCAGGACCTTCTTGCTGAGAGGCGAGAGTGCTATCCACTCAGCCACCGTGCCGCCCACACACACACTCACACAATTTGTGTAGGTGTGTGAGTGTGTGTGTGATTCTTGTTTAGTATTGTGTCTCTCGGATTAATACACGTTTTTTTGCTTGTAATCCACATGTTCTCTTGTTTGCTTTCTTTTAAATATTTATTTTTCTTCTGTGAATAATCCTTTGTACTGTATGTCTTTTGCATGTTTTGAAATAAATAAACCAATCAGCGTTGTCTCCTCAGCCACGCACTGCTTCCCGTACGTAAAGAAGCGCATCGCCATCATGTACCAGCACCACACAGACCTGAGCCCCATCGAAGTGGCCATAGACGAGATGAGTAAGAAGGTGGCTGAGATCAAGCAGCTGTGCTCCTCCAGTGACGTGGACATGATCCGCTTACAGCTCAAGCTCCAGGGCAGCATCAGTGTCCAGGTGCGGGCCATAATATTGTATATCACAGTCAGAAGTACTTGGAGAATACTACTGTACCTTATATAGTAAATGTAATGGTATGTTTCTGCTATTAGGTGAACGCCGGGCCGCTGGCATATGCACGAGCTTTTCTGGATGACTCCTGTGCCAAGAAATATCCAGATAATAAAGTCAAGCAGCTCAAAGAGGTCTTCAGGTGAGGTTGTGTGTGTGTGTGTGTGTGTGTCTGTCTTTGTCTGTCTCTGTCTCTGTCTCTTCCTGTCTCTGTCTATCTGTCTGTGTGTCTGTCTCCTAGTCTCTGTCTGTCCGTCTACCTCTGTGTGTGTCTCTGTCTGTCTCTGTCTAATTTCCTGGTGTTCCACATCAGCTGCCATGTCATGTCTGTTACTAGATTGGACTTTTTGAAAAAATAATCAAAACTCCCAAAATGTGTGCGTGAGCAGGAACAGACTTATGGATATCTACTGAGAGCATTCTTTCACCTATCACTTGGTGTGAATACATTTCTCTCCAAAAACAGAAATTTGCAAACATAACATAACTGTTTAGAGATACTGTATATAGAAATCAGGTGTTTTGATTGTGATAAAAGACATAGATAATACTCTATTGGGGACATATTCACATAATTATACAGGAAGTGCACTGTATGGTGCTGTCTGTTTGCTTAGTATTGTACTGTGTTGTCTTGTGTTGAGTGAGTGAGAGGGGATTGATATAACATAAGCGTTGGCTTTACACATCTTTTTTAAACCTTGTACTTTACAGGTGGAACTCAGAAAATTAGATTATCGTTCAAAAGTCAATTTATTTCTGCAATTGAACCTAAAATATGGGACTTATGATATATCAAGCCTTTATTTGTTATAATGTTGATAATTATGGATAACTGCTTGTAAAGAAAAACAACCAAATAAAAACACATTATTTAGTATTTTTGTATTTATTTATTTATTTTTATCATAACAAAAGTCTTGATATCTGTTACTCTGCCTGTACTAATTTCAATTACAAAAATAAATGCACTTTTGAATGATATTCTATCTGTCCGAGTCCTGCCTATTTAGTGTATCTGTGTTTTATGTGACGCATGTGAAACATATTGTGCAGATTTGAATGGAAGAATCTAATCTAAATCTAACCTTCTTATTCCTAATTCCTAACTGTTAAAACGATTTATTTATGCAGGCACTTTGTGGAGGCGTGCGGACAGGGTTTGGGAATCAACGAGCGACTGATCAAAGAGGACCAGCAGGAGTACCACGACGAGATGAAGGCCAACTACAGAGACCTGGCTCGAGAGCTGTCAATCATCATGCACGAGCAAGTAAGAGCCTCCCTGGGACTAAATCTGCTCTGTTTATATGTTCTACTTGAACTAACATGTGACATCAGTGTGCTCCTAGTCATGTGCTAACTCGGTTTTCTCTTCCCTGTGCTGACATGAGCAGAATGGATGGTAAATGCCAACATGTCGCTTACTGTATGCAGTGAAAATACATGGTTTTGGTGTTGGTCCAGCTAAAGAAATTACACCAATATTGACTTGTTTTTCTTTGCATTAAATTGATTATAAGTTCACACATGCCTAGACTGCAGTCACGTATATAATAACACAATTACGATAAGAATTTTATAAAGCTCAAATCTTCAGCTGGCCCGATCAACTATGGGTTTGGATTTGTGCATGTGTGTATCTGGGCATGATCATATATACGTACATCTGCAGTGTGTACTCATCATTAAACATATATGATAAAGTATATGTTTTCATTCTGTTTTTTATTTGCAAGGTCAAGTGGGAATGTGAATCTATAGTGTTTCCATGTACATGTTTGTTTAAAATGTGGGCTCCTTTGTGGTGACATGTCTCCCAATACATCTATTTGCTAAGTAATGGTCGTTTTAAAGCTGCGGTACATACATTTCTCAATTTGTAAATATGTCTAGTATGTACCAATAGAAAGAGTCATGTAAAAGTTTAATTTTGTGAACAAATCATACCACAAGATGCTGTTTCCATCTGAACAGAAAACATTAGATTTTGCATACTTGAATAAAAGCCCAGTGAGTCGCCATTTGATGCTTTGGGCTGAGTGAGGGTGGTCCCCTTTAACTTTTATGTCTACAAAGATAATAAAAAAATGAGACCGAAGCTAATAAAAAATGCATGAATTAAATATAACTGTTTGGCAGAGAAAACGGATGAAAAATAGATTAATTTTAAGGAGCAATCAGTAATAAATAAATTAAAAAAACAATTCAGAAAATAGTGATGGAACCAAACTGTTTTTTTTTGAGTGGCACACTAGGTAACCTGACTTTATTTTTTGGCATAATAAATCCTCAATGACAAACTAAAAACCGCATCTTACATACCACCCAACTTTTCAAACATATTTTCTTTCTCTCTTAGATCAGTCCAGTGGAAGATGGCATGAAGAGCGTTCTGCCTGACTCTCTGCACATTTTCAACGCCATCAGTGGGACCCCGACCAGCGCCACCATCCAGGGCATCCCCAGCTCCTCCTCCGTGGTGTGACCGGAACCAAGGCTCTTCCTCTGGTGTGACCGGCCCCCAGATGCAGACAGAGATAGCGTGTGTGTGTGTGTGTGTTTGTGTGTGTGTGTTTGTGTGTGTGTGTGTGTGTGTGTGGGAGGTCTCTGCTCGCTGTGGCGCAGACTGAGGCAGGGACAGGAAAGCGACCTCCGGGTCAGAAATGAAGCGTGGCTGGACTTTGCCTCCTCATATTCTGCAGAGTCCTTCTTTGCAGATGCTCGTTCGACTATGCATGGTTCACAATTCTGTTCTACACATTTGTTGTTTGTATACCTGTGTACAGTATTCCTTTTTTTCACCAATGTTAAGACATTTATTCACTCTATGTTTTTACCACATCGTTGCCCTTTTATAGTTATTTTAATCACATGGAGTCTTAGAAGAGAGAGTGCTATATTACAGATGTTTAAAGCCACTGCATACCAGATTTATGTTTATTTATGTACATACAAAGGACTGTGCAATATTTGCAAAAATAAAAGATGTGCTGGGGCCCATACACTGTAAAGAAACTATGTTCACCTTCACGCCAAAGCATTGAGGTGTGGATACAGTCACCTACTGTTTATGAAGCTTTTACCGTTTAGTGTTAATTTAATTGTTTATACATTGTTTTATACATTAGAGCTAATGTGTTTTTTAAAGTTTTTTTATTTATCACAGTTGTCAACTTTCTGCTGTAAACAGAAATCTTTCCTATGGCTTGTTTTAAATAAAACAAATTGTAAACATATTAAGGTCTTTGATTTGTTGTTTTTGTGTCTATTGGGAATCGGTCTCGTCTTGAGGTTGTAGATTGTGCAGCAGTTCATATCTTCTCTTCCCTCCCATCATAAAAAGATAGAGAGTCAGCAGTGTTTAGATCAAGGGCTAATAAGCAACACTACCTTTGACTACAGGACAATAGGGTATAGGAAGAGTCCGGAGAGCTGCAGCTGCCACCATGGCCGGTGAGTCCAAAATCTGTAGCATTAATACTGACATAATTATGTTCATATTCAGACTTCTAGGGAATGTTGGGGAACCTAGATTATTTCTTCTACATGCATAATACATATAGTCCCAACAGACAACGTCTTGTAAAAGTAAAATGTTTATTTTATCTCTATTGTATGTCAAATTCTAGGGCCAGTGTTTTCTGTATCTGCCCCAACTCAAACTAAATATATAAATATTAAAAAATATATATTTTTGTTTGCATACATGTTATAAAACCCCTTGTGAGCTGATTGGCTGAGTGAGGGTGGTCCTCTAAGACATGACAGAGGACAAAGATATGTGCATGTAAAAAATACTGTTAAAATAGTTACAGTAGATAGTTTGTATGATGTGTTTCTATTTGTAACAATCTGTATGGATGTCTTCCCAGATGAATTATTTCTGTATAAAAAAAAGTTAGTCCATTGAATATTCTTCAGTACTTTTCTAATTTTACCACAGATAAAGAGAAAAAAGAACCCAAGGAGGAGAAGAGAGGCAAGGTAATAGACATATTATGCAATACCTATCATTAAGCAGTATTTCAATTGATTGCACAATCTAATGCCATATTCACTGGACACAAACAGAAATAGTCTGTTGTGATGTTACTACTAAAATATAATTTAGATAAATGTGTTTTTCTATGCACTAGGGCCCAGTTGTGTGTGGCTACCCCCTCAGCATTTTCTTCATAGTTGTTAATGAGTTCTGTGAAAGATTTTCCTACTATGGCATGAGAGGTAAGATCTCCAAACAACACACACACACATGTTTCTTTATTTCTCTAAAACCACATGTCTGTCCCAACAGCTGTCCTCGTGTTGTATTTCAAGTACTTCCTGAATTGGGATGATGATTTTGCAACGTCTATTTATCACGTCTTTGTGGCCCTTTGTTACTTGACCCCTATCCTGGGGGCCATCGTCGCCGACTCATGGCTTGGGAAGTTTAAGTAAGTACTAAGTAACGTAGCTGTGCTTGGAAGCTTTGCACACCCAGGCAGAAGTTTATCAGTCATAATCTCCAAAATAAGGCCGAAACAACGTCATCTGTAGATAGGTGTTTAACTTTCTAGCACAACTGCATAATGTCACAAAACACACATGTACAGATTCTCTGATCTGTATGGACCAGGCATGGCCAAACTGTTCTCCTGAGGGCCACATTTGGATATCAGCTTACTGTCGGTGGCTGGACCTAATTGCCAATGTTTTTCTCAAGCTTATTTTTTACACAGAAATATATTACATTCAATATTACACATCACGGCAATGTTTATGCCATGTCCATATAAACCAAGGAAGTATAAATGTCAAAGGGCCCCATCTGGTTCCTCAGGCCGGGGTTTGCCCTCCACTGGTGTAGGCAAATCAACAGCTTCGTCCTCTGAGATCAGAATCAGAATCAGATAACTACTGTTGTGTTTTAGGGCCATACAACAATAAATTGAATTGAATGAAACTTCCTCCGTCAGATAACACACTTTCTTGCCTCTCCTCAGGACTATCATTTACTTGTCCATCGTCTATGCTCTGGGTCAAATTGCGATGGCCATCAGTGCTATCCACGACATCACCGACCAGGACCGGAACGGGACCCCAGACAACATGACCTTCCATGTGTGCGTATCTACTGCCTCATCTTGCATAAATCATTATCCACTGTGATAGTAAATGATCTGATCTCCCAGGGTCCTGTCGATGGTGGGCCTCTTCCTGATCGCTCTGGGCACTGGGGGAATCAAACCTTGTGTGGCAGCCTTCGGTGGAGACCAGTTCTCTAATCATCAGGTGACCTCCTCTGAAACAACTAAGAATTACTGAGATGATGTATGTAAAACAGGCGTCATTTTTGTTGTTGTTAAATGTTTGATTAACAGGAAAACCAAAGGAGAACCTTCTTCTCCGTCTTCTACCTGTGCATTAATGGAGGGAGCTTGCTGTCCACCATCATCACGCCCATCCTCAGAGGTACGCCGCTATGTTACACAGATATTTGCTTGTTCAATATACAGTATGTTGATAAGGGGGGAAAAAACAATGATATAGTTGTATAAAACAAAGAAATATTTGTAAACAGATACAAAAAAACTTTTAATTTATTTTTTCATGTTTGTTTATCTATTTGTGACTACACATCTCTGTCATATGGTTTGGTGATATTTTGTACATACTGTAGATTTGAACAATTGAGTATGGATATGTTTCAATTCAATTTATTCTTGTATAGCCCTAAATCACAACAATACTTATCTCGGAGGACTTAACAAAACTGCCAAAAACACAAATCAGAGAATCAGAGAATCAAACTGTTAAAACACAAGAAATTTGAAGATAAAAAACACATAGAGCCATTGGTCCATAAGAGGCAGATGACCAGTGTCCATAAATGATAAATGTTGATAAATTAGACCTTCATGCATCTGCACGAAGGGTTCTCTTCATTGTAATATATCGATATGTGATTTGATTATTATAGGGGCGACAGTAGCTCAGTTGGTAGAGCATTGGCCTTTGGGCCTGAAGGTCGTGGGTTCAAGCCCACCATAAGACCTACTTCACGACTCCCACTGATGACTGCTGTCGTTGTGTCCTTGGGCAAGACACTTAACCCCACTTTGCCTGAAGCTCCAACTGAAAGATCTCAGCTCCTGTGGACTCACCACCTGCAGGAGGATCAGTGAGGGGCTGGTGCTAAGTGTACTGGGTGCAGCTCTGACTGCCACCCCCCCGACCCAGAAATGGATTAAGGGGAAGAAAATGGATGGATGGATGGATGGATTTGATTATACTAAATATCTGATTATACTAAATATCATACTTCAAAACTCAAATACTTTCTTTTTTATATGGTTCTGGAGATATCTTTCTATGTTTTTTATGAAGTTTTGCGGATAACACGTTTTCGTCATATTTGCAGCCCAGCAGTGCGGCATCCACACAAAGATGGAGTGCTATCCTCTGGCGTTTGGAGTCCCGGCCGCGCTCATGGTGGTGGCCCTCGGTAAAAGTCTTATTCCTACACTCGGCTGTGCATATTATAATTTTTATAATGTCAGAATTTGCTGTATAGAACCACATTATGTCACTTTACTTAGTCACTTTGTATGTTTGTAATTGATTTTTTTTACTTAGCGTGTGTGTGTGCGTTTGTGAAAATGGATTTATATATTTAAAAAGAATATGTAAAAGCATGTAATGTTTTTGAGGAGACTCTTAGGAAGATTAGCCATGGCATCTCAGTGGCTAATGGGGATCTTATTAAACCAAACTAAACTAAACTTTGTCCCAGACCCTCATGTTGCTAACATGTTTGCACAGATGTATTCAAACAACTATATATTTCTTGCACTAGAAGTATTTGAAACTTGATTCCTTAGATAGAGACTTTATACTTCCTTCTTTATAATGCTGAAGTTAGATATTTTATTTTAATTTAGCATAGAGATATTGTTCATTTTATCTTTTGTTGTGTGCTCCTCAGTCCTACAGTTCTGTAACCGGTGATACGACACTGACATTTCTCCACTGTGCGACAAATAAATGATATCTTTAGATCTTAAATACACAAACCACACATCAGTTTGTAATGTGTGGTTTTTAACATGTGTCTCTTTGACAGTGGTGTTCATTGTGGGCAGTCCCATGTACTACAAAGCAGAGCCACAGGGAAACATCATGCTGGACGTGTGCAAGTGCATTGGGGTAAAGTCACTGTCACTTTTAAAGAATTATGAAACTAGAACTCCCAGAGCCGTCATTTTGACTGCTCCCATTCAAACCAATGAAATTCAGAGAAATTCGACCCTACTAGCAACAGCAACTTTGTAGAGTCTTGCGTATATCCATATTTATTATATGACTTGGATCGTACGAGCGCTCTGATTGGCTGATTTGCGGTCTGATATTTTCCCATCTCGGACCGTTACCATGACAATTGGTCGGCAGTGCTTATCAAATTTGATATCTTTCCTCTGTCATATAATAAAACATGAATTAACCTCTCACTCGTTTAATAAGCCATTAATATGTATCTGTGTTGTAAATATTATCCTACACTTGCGCTATTGCACGACTACTGGTTAGATGCTAAACTGTTTTCTTTGCATTGTTTGGACATTGTAACGACAATAAAGTTTCATCCAATTTAATCTAAAAAGTAACATTTTCCACCGTTTTTTTTTTCTTTCCGTAATTCACTTTCACTAAAGAGCAAAAATTGGTGTATATAACTCGAAATACAGCAAAAAGTTTGTTGAAATGCTAAATGCTAATTGCTACCAAGAAAACGGTGAGTTGCTATGGTAACAATGGTAACTAACTGCTCACGTTTAAAAAATTAAATAAAAATTTCATCAAAAATAATGACAATATGATATAAATAAACTATATTTAGAACGAGAAAAAGTCACAAAGTTATGAACACCAAACGCGCTGAGTAATCACACTTCCAAAACTAAAAGCCGTCAAATTGACTGCTCTGAGAGTTTAGCGTTCATAATGTAAGCATGTTTGTTAGCTCATCTTTATCTCTTGTTCTTTAGTTTGCTATTAAGAATCGCTACAGACACAGAAGCAAGCAATATCCCAAGAGAGAGCACTGGATGGACTGGGCAGAGGAGAAATATGGTGTACGTGGTAAAAACACTATAGATTCATTCCAATTACATATTAGTTGTGAAATAACTTTAAATTCCTTTGTTTTGTAGAAACTTCTAATCGCTCAGATCAAAATGGTGCTGAAAGTGTTGTTTTTATACCTCCCACTTCCCATGTTCTGGACTCTCTTTGACCAAAAGGTAACGTTACCACAACTGTCACCACTGATACGTGTATGATAGCAAGAACATTGAGTTGCTCTTCCTGAAATGCGCTCTACAAATAAATCTGACGTTTAGCACATTTCATACATGGATGCAACTGTAAATAAATGTTACTTCTGCTTCAGATTGATTAATGTAATATGAATGATATGTGTTTGTTAGGGTTCAAGATGGACACTGCAGGCGACTACACTGAATGGGGACTTTGTATGTAATTGTATTAAAAAGAAAATATAAAACATACAGTACCGTAAACTAACACCTATGCATCTATTCTCTTCAAATTGTTGCTTTTACACAGGGTGGGTTCATTGTCCAACCCGATCAGATGCAGGTAACATCAAAGAGACAACCTGCTATTTGCGTTTGCTGAAATGTGATAAGTAACATTGTTATTTTGCAGACTTTTAACCCCATTTTGATTCTGACCCTGGTGCCGATCATGGATAACGTCATCTACCCTTTGATCAAAAAATGTGGCTTCGACTTTTCGTAAGTAACACTCCGCAGGACATGATGTTGTTGGTTTTATATTTCTCGTTGTTTGGTATAATCCATGATCTTTCAGACCCCTGAAGAGGATGACCGTGGGGATGTTTCTGGCAGCGATGGCTTTTGTCTGCGCTGCTGTGGTCCAGCTAGAGGTGGATGTGAGTATTGCACACAGTTCAATCCACTCAATTTAATTTAATATTATCACAAATCACAACAGTAGTTATCTGGGAGAACTGTTGAATTCACCAACACAGATCAGAGAATCAAACAACAGCAGCTCACAACCCCCTTCCAATCATCTCAAGGATTTAGGAATTAAACACATAATTCGGAATTATTCAATGTTGAGTCATTTCATATCTTTTCTTTTTTTATATTCCTTATGTGCAATATTACAGGGATAGACAGAGTAATGGTATGTTTTGAATACAAGTGGTATATGCAGTTTGCCTTAGTAATTGCATAAAAGTTTACTATGACTATGACTATATACTATAAAAGACACTTCCTTTCTGCCATTTCTGTTCCGTGAAAATGACTGATTAAAAAAAAAACCTTGCAGACTGCTGCACTTGAGGACATTGGACTGTTTTGACAAAGATTATTTTGAAACCTGGAGCCAAGAAGATGATATGACTGGATGCAATTTTACATATTTTAATGGTTAATGTGGCCTTTTTGATGTATGAGTGTGGCTGACCACCAGTTCTAGTTCTGAATATTAACAATCCTTTTAAATTGTGTATACAGTATTAATGTCCCCACACTCCATGTTCCTCCCTAAATGTTTCAGCGTCCTTTTCGGTTTCAGAATCAGAATTGGTTGTTTTTGCCATTGTAAGTAGCAGGAAGTCACAAACTAGGAATCTGCTTCGGGAACTGGTGCAAACAAGAAGTAAAAGAATAGATTTAAAGACATGCATGGCAAATCCTAATTACGTTCTATATATAAATGCACACAGTAGATGTGTTCAGACGTATGATATTATAAAGTGATATTTCTATTATCTCTCTTCGGCCAAAGAAAAGGAGCCTTCAAAAAGTAAAAATCTGTGAACAAATCAGACCCCAACATGCCACCTAAAAACAATATCTTTTGCATACAGTACTTGTAAGAAAGAGCCTCGTGAGTCAGAGTATGACCCTTTGGAGCTGATTTGCTGAGTGAGGGTGGTTTTCTCGTTATCATTTAACTGTCTGAAAAGCTGATCTGACTGAGGCCAAACACATGTATGTGAAAACTTGTGATGGAACCAAAGAGCGAGGAATGGTCATTTGTGGTTTGAAAGAAAATTATTGCAGCTTATCTAAATTTCCTTTAAAGTGAAATAAAACAAATGCATTTCTCAAATTTACTTTTCTTTTTCAGAAAACGTTGCCCACTTTCCCCTCGGCCTCTGAGAGTCAGCTCAAACTGCTCAACATGGGCCCGAGCGCAGTCACTGTTCAGTGTGGAGCGGAGCCCCCAATGGAACTTCCAGCCAATCAGGTTTGTTTCATCACTTTGTCAATGTCAAATTTATTTATAAAGCTCATTTAAAAACCAGCGTAGATGTACCAAAGCGCAATCCTGACTCTCGCCAGACCCTTGTAGTTCGCTGAGCTTCACACAAGAAACATTTCCCTAAATATTTCTTATATTTATTGCTGCTATTGAATTTAGTAGTCCTACACTTATGTGTGCAATAATCATTTTTAATGTCAGAATGTACAATATGTATCTCCGTCTTATGAAGACGGATTTTCAGAGATCCATTTTGGTCTGTTTCTCATCCATTATCTGCGGAAACTATGGCGCCTAAAGGTTATTTAAAGGGAATGTTAGTTACTTTTCAAAGTTAATCCTGGCCATGCTCATCCCTGCAGGTTCCTGATTGGTAGAAATTAGTTCAAATCCTTCAGGTTCCTCATCATTGGTTTAACTGGTGGTAGAAAATAGTCTCTCCAAGGGGACAGACTATTTTAAATATTGTAAAACAAAAACTATTGTACATGGTTGTACAAAACAGAAACAAAAAACATTATTATAAACACAAAAACAATTTAAGTTTCTGTCATCGCCTTTGCACTAATCTTGACTTTTGATTTCTTTGTTACAGGCCAGTCCCGACTACTACACATTTGCAGGTTCAGACTCTGTTTCAGTCTCTCTGGGAAATACCACCAGAACCATCACTTTGACCAAGGGCCATCGGCAAACTTTGCTCGTTCCCAAAACGCTGACAAGTGCATGGGAGCTGGTGAGACAGACACAGCCCCGGAGTGAAAGTTCAATATTTGAATATATTTGAATTCATTTTTTCATTTTGCACAGACAGAAGATTTAACCTCCAAGCCCCAAAAAGGTGCTAATGGCATTCGGTGAGTATGACATCTTTTCTTTGCACAAAACATAACTAAGACATTGCAGAATTTTGTACAAAACAAGTAAGTTAAAAAACATACATTTAAATAATCACATGTTTTCTACCACTGCACTATTTCTATACAGGTGGAAAAGTGAATGTACAGTAATTCAGCCTAAAATGTGAAAATATAGACCAATCACATGCAAGTTTTGCCAGTGACATGTTATGATTATGATGATTATGGTTATTAGCTTCATATAAATTTGAAATACATAAGTAAATGGAAAGATGTTCTAATTTTCCAAGTTTCACCTGTATCGCTGTGTCTATTTCTGCTTCAGATTTGTCAATGGACTAAGTGTTCCAATCAACATTTCCTCCACTCAAGCAGAGTTTGGAATCATTGAGCCATTTTTAGTCAGCAACTACACCCTGTTGAAAAATGGAAAGTAAGTATGTTTGACAGTATGTTTAGTTGTTTGCAGACTTTGCATTTCCTTATGGCTTCTGTTGTGTGTTTGTATCCAGGCAAATTTTCACCATCCGCTCTGCGTCTGCCTCCTGCGATGTCGAGAAAGACTTTGGTTTCGGGAGCTCGTACACTTACTTCATCCCGAGTACTTTCACTTTTACTGAAAATGTAAAACAACGCTCTTCTTTACAGTTTGGTGAGATGTACGCCACCGTTTTACACATGTTTACGTTGTGCGTTTGTTTGGTTTCAGCAGTGCGGGAACATCACTACAATAGAGCACATTAAACCAAACACAGTCCACATGGCCCTGCAGATCCCACAGTACTTCTTCATCACAGCTGGAGAGGTCATGTTCTCGGTCACTGGGCTGGAGTTTTCTTACTCACAGGTAAAAATACTTAAAAACTAAACTATAATAAAACAATGACTACAAGTGTACTATTTTTATTTTATTCATTATTTTCTCCTAAACTTAATAAGGGAGGGAGGAAAGAAGGGAGTGTGGCAGTGAGGGAGAGGGAGGGTGGGAGGGAGGGGGATAAATTGTAACTTTTTTCTACTGTTACCTATTTAATTGGTCTAAAATGAAACAAATTACGTTAAAGAAACAAAAAACAAAACAAGTGGACTAGTTTAAAGTCTAAATCTCTGTAATATTTCTGTTGAAGGTCATAGTCACTGGAGCATCTTGCCAAACACTAGAAAAGTGGTTGCTTTTACACAAAATACATACAAATATTGAGATTACACACATTTGTTTTTTTAACTGTATATTTAGGAGTCAAAGCAACCCGGCTTCCCACATTTCCCAACGTTCCCTACAGTTTTCTTACATAGTAATTCATCTCTTTTCTTGTTTTCATTTAGCTGTTTAGCATTTAGCGTTTTTGTCTTTCTAAAAAGACAAAAACGCTCTGACTCCCAAAGTGTTATCATTGTATACACATGTGTACTATATTGTATTGTTAGCCGTCTAAAATGTAGAAATACATGTTTTTTTTATAGGAATCTCACTGTAGCCTTGTACTGTCACCATTATATTTATCTAGTTAGAAAAGTTCTCTACCCTTTTACTTTAAATTCATTCAACATGATGAAGGCAAAGCAAATCTGGTGGAAACGCAATCTGTCAATGTGATCCCCAGAGAGTCTGTTCGAGTCATTCTAAATAAAATTCTATGCTGGATGTTATCAAACGTTCTAGTTGGTTTTTGGTGGTGATCTCAACCATGGCCACTCTTTAATAACTGGGAAAACTTACATAGTGCACATTCTTAAATATTTAAATCATTTCCTTGTCTCTGTGTCCATAGGCACCAAGCAACATGAAGGCGGTGCTCCAAGCCGGGTGGTTGCTCACTGTTGCTATTGGCAACTTTATAGTCCTGATTGTCGCAGAACTTGCAAAACTTCCCAAGCAGGTAATTTTTTCTACAGTCTGTGTCTATGTGTGCAACAGCGTAATCCATGATACATTTTGTTTACATTTTGTTACACACACACAATACTGAATACACAGCGAAACAGCCAAAAGAAAGTCTCGTCCTCTGCGCTTCTATCATTCTATGGTGCGATCCACATTGTGAGACGTGAGCTCTGTAAACAACAGTGGGAGGGGGGTAGTCAGGGGCGATAGCTTCGTGGGCGCGGAGAGGGGAGCATAAAGAGCGAGGCCAGCGCTTACTTCTCAAACGGCTTCTTCGAAATCACAAAGTTAGTTAGTTCAGCATTAAATTCAGCAGTTTTTCAAATGGCCAGCAGATGGCGATCTTTATTATTGTATTAGAGCACCAATGTCTATGTTCCGTGATCATTGAGGTTCCAAACTTGTCATTGGTTTCCTTCATCGGGAATGACAGTTTCAACTTTTACTGCCTATAGCTTCTATGAGTGCTACCTCCTTCTAGCATTATGGGATTTTTGGGAATATTATGGTCATATTTTCAAATGGTAAGATTCTATAACATGTCCATTTGTCCTCCCAGTGGACAGAGTACGTGCTGTTCGCCTCCCTCCTGGTGGCCGTGTGCTTCATCTTCTCCATCATGGCGTATTTCTACACGTACATGGACCCGGCAGAGATCGAGGCCCAGTTCACAAACGACTTGAAACAAGACGACGATGACGACAATGACGATAGGCCCAGGAAGCACTCGCACAACTCCGAAATCAAGATGGTGAAGAAACCGTCTGATCACGACGTCACATCACAAACCAAAATGTAAATTGTTCAGAGAGCTTTTGTTTTCTTTTTTTTTGTATTTGCAGAAGCTTTTGGAAATAATATTTAAGTTTATTACGGAAATGCTTAAGTTATGTTGTAATCTGAATTATTTTAGTGGTACTGTTTGTTGTTATTGAACTGTATAATGTTGTAGCTCAGAAGATTAGACGATGGAAAATACATTCAGTAAATACATGAAATTATACTGGTGCTTTTTGTCCTAATTGTAACCCCAGATAAACGAATATAATTACGTCTGAAACGGTTTCTCTCTCCAACGTCAAATGGTGCTCCAGTACACCCAAAACATGAACCATAGGTATAATCCTCTGTCTCTGGCCCTAACCAGAGCATCAACATCTGTAGATAGTTGACATTAAATAGCCGTACTAATATATACAATATATTGGGTGGTGGGGTGCACAATACTGGGGGGTGGAGCAGTGCTGTGGTCCAGTTTATTATTATTATTTGTTTATTTGATAGGGACAGAACAAGAAGCATTGTTACAGGAACCGATGCTGTGTTCATAGGCCGTATAGCTAACAGCTAGTTTGCAGACCTGGTCCCTAAAACCTAGAATACATCACATTTACATTATACATACATCATTAAATTAAAAAAATAAGTAATAAGTTATACTAAATAATAAACAAGAATACAATACAAAATACAAAAAAAAAAAAAAAAAAAAAAAAAAGAATACAATAAATGATTACTGTCTTGCATTATGCTCACATGTTTGGGTCCTTTTGAGCCATAGTTTGACTTTAATTTAATAGTATTGCATGTTTCATTTCAGATCGATGTTTCATTCCTTCCTGTTTCAGTTTCTCATGTTTTGTTGTTGCCTAATGTTTGCTGCTGCAGCTGCTTCATCAGCTTTTGACCCAGCGTTGAACAAAGAACACCCAAACCTATGTTTAATCTTTGGAAATACTAAATCCAAGGAAATTATGAGTATATAAAGATTTTTGCAAAACAGGCCTCTGGACCAGACCTCGGACCAGTTTGAGTTTTTTGTTCTTGTTGAAAAAAACAAAACAAATTCATAACAAAAATAAAAATATATATTTCAGCAGTTTGTGCCTTGGTTTCAAATATGTATAAGCTTTCATACTCATGTCACTCTATCATAATATTTAGTTTTACTCAATAAATACAACACAATGCAATGCAAAAAAAGAGGATATTTTCATGAGGGATTAAATCAAGTGAAATATCCACAGACTCACAGACTGTCATCAAACAAGGAGATCCCAAAAGACATCTAAACAGAACATGCACACTATTTAAAAGTATTGTAAATAGCTTAAGATTACAAGGTTGTTTGACGATCACAATTGTGTCAACAGGAAGTGTGCTTAATCAAAGGGAAATGAATCATGTCCTGTACAGTAAAAATATACCGTTATTTTTTTTCTTCCGTTTTTAAAGTGATTATTTTATTATTATTTTTACAGCTGACTATGTAAATTCAGACAATGTCGCAATTTGAAAACCTTGCCAGCTCAGAGTCAGCTGAACTTCCCTCTGTGGCCTTCTGCTCCACATAAGTCCAGAAAGAGGAATTTTACATATTTAGGAACAACAAACACAATCTCAAACACCGGGCTTAGACGGATTCCATTTCTGTTAAATTCTTTCGTTTTTGGAGACGCAATGGAAAATGTGATGGTGAAATTAAATCTTGCCATGTGTAGGTTTGTGTTGAACTCACTATGTATCACCATCTACCCACAAACCACAGGCTCTTAGGGTGTGTATTAACCACAAGCACATACTGAGAGTGTTCAAAATGTTAACTCCTCATCTGTGCTTTTCTGTCGCTTGTTATCAGACCTTTACCACAACCGTCAACTTCTGCTTATTTAGAGTTGTTCAGAAAAACGATGATTATCACACATTCATCTCTGCATAAAGGGCATCTGAAAAACAAGGGGGAAAATGTGATATTTATCGTCAAGCGTACACAATAGGACGTTTTATTTTTATTATAGCAGAATTATTTTACACACCCTAATGGCCCAATCCCCATCATTCCTACACGGCTCTAGTCTACCCCAATGGGAGCGTTTCCACTGGCCCTGCTATCCCATTTCCAGGTACTTTTTCTAGTACCTGCTGGGCCGTGGTTCTATCCAGTGCTGCTGGAAGCCATGGTTATCAAAGAATTTCCCCGGATTCTGGTTTGTTGTGGGTAGGTTGTTAAAATGTGGTACTTGATACTAAAGCGCAATGAAAAAGCAGCCAGGTAAAGAAGAGTCGAGATGGGCCGAGTAGGGCTGGCGGAAACGGAGCTCACGGGTCTGGTCAGTATTAAAGCAAGTACTGTATACAGTATTACCAAAATGCTAATGTTCTCTACTTTTAACAAAGGACTTCAATAGTATTGGCTTTAGTGCCTCTTGTACTTTTTATCAATTCAGTAGGATAGTATATTTTTGTATTTTTATAGCTTTGCAAGAATCATTTGGTGAAGAAAAGCTGAAAATGTACCCAAAACTTACAGGAAGTAAAACCAGAATGTAAAACAATTTCCATCCAAATGATGTGTTACATTTGAAGTCATGTCTTCCATGGGGGTATCTCATGTGTTATCAGTTTTATTATGGGACTGCTTTTTTTCCTTTGGGTGAAATGTCATGCTTTGTCACTGCAGGGTGATTGGGGCTCATCATGTGACGTTTAGGCAGAGGAAATGGGTTGTCACATCAGCATATGTGTGCGTGTGCGTACGTGTGTGTACTCGAGGCAGATGTTTGTGTGGAAAGATGCCTTTAATGAGAAGGAACAATGTGTGAAGCAGACAGAATGACACTCGGCGCAGTCTGACTGAGGCACCTCTGTCTCACTGAGGACGGTCTGTGAACGAGTGAGGATCCATGATGAAATAACATGTTCAATCCAACGCCTTGAGAAAGATGGAAATGCTTCTTCATGTTGTCCTTGTCTTCTTGGTGCCAGAGGTGTGGTCTCAGGATGAAGGTACTGTATTTTAGGTTGAGCCTTGGAGTTGTATATATATGTTCAGTAGAATTGTATAGCACTTATTCTATTTAAATATCTTCATAATGTTCCCTTTTTAACAAATATGGTTACTATGGGCATACTGTATATCACATAATCAATATTATTGAATATGTGATATACACATTATTATGTGGTATACCACATATTATTATGTGGTATGTTTTTATGTACAATCCGTGTATTTGTGTCTTGGTTTGTAACTGAAACTGTAAAAAGAAAAGGAATGGAAATGTGAGCACATGGCAGGTACTTACCAGAGACAACAACAGCTGGGGCGTCTGCATTGGAAACACTGATTTTATCTATCAAACCAATGAGATTTACAGTTGGGTCTATTGTAACTGTGACAGTTTCTAACTTTAAAAAAAGTAATCAGTATATTTCATATGACGACTTAAGTTGAATACAATTAAACATAGATCTGTCCAACTACAGTGAGTCAGTGTGTAATAAACCTTTATCTAGATTGTATTTTTATATATAATGCATAGAGTACAAACCAAACGTTTCTTCTCATTCAAAGAGTTTTTTTTTTTCATGATTAGGATAATTGTAGATTCACACTGAAGTCATCCAAACTTTGGATTAACTCATGTGGAATTATGTACGTACTAATAAAAAAGTATGAAACAACTGAAAATATGCCTTATATTCTCGGTTCCTTAAAGTAGCAACTTTTGCTCTGATTAAAATGCAAAATAGTTTTGAAAATGTTTATAGCAATGCTAGGAACAGCAAAGACACTTCACAGAACTTAAGCTGGCCTCTGGTGGAGGACCCAAGCTGAGAGAGAGGATAACGAGAGTGAACATAGCAAATTATACATATAGCGTCCATGGCAAAGGCCCTGTATATTGAACTTCTACTGTGCAAAAATCCCAAAACAATTATAAATATATATTTACTTTTTATTTTTCAGGGCTGAGGGTCAAATCTTTCCGACTGGGAGAAGACGTTAACTTGACATGTGAAGATAGACCACACAGTGGTGACTACTTTTATTCTATTTGGACTATAACCCATCAAGGCAAAAACTGTTCAATAAGGAGTAATTTTACTAGTGATTATGCAAATACTTGCATGGACCACAACAAAGACCTGAAGATCACCAATCACACATCAACCCTCCACATCCACAACTTCTCCCTCAACGACGTGGGAATCTACAACTGTGACTCTGCTTACAATGGAGGGGTCGACAAAGCCATATATACCCTCACCATCATCGGTAAGACCTGCGGGACAGTCCACGGACAGTTTTCTCTGTATCAATAAGCAAAAAGCTGTACCAATGCTATATATATATATATATATATAGCATTACTATACAGTTCTATACTATACAGTTGAAATAAATGGATACATGTGTGGATACATATTTCTAATATGGTGTCTAGGTAAATTAGGAACGTAAAAAAACATGAATGAATGAATGATACCCTTTTTTAGTCCCACAGTGGGGAAATACACAATGTTGTCCATTTATTTTCAAAGATCTCTTTCAGAGTTTGACTTCTTGAACTTTGTTAAAGGTATTTTTTACAGAGGCTTCTAATAAAAAAAAAAAACATGTAAACTTACAATAAATGTGACCATGGTATGGAAGCCCGTTTCCGCCATGTAAAAAAATAAGCCTACAGAAAGTCAAAATTTTGACTTTAAAACTCAAAATTTCGACTTTAAAAGTCAAAATATCGACTTTAAAAGTCAAAATTACGACTTTAAAAGTCAAAATTACGAGTTTTCAACTGCGCATGTGCAGTTGAAACTCGTATGTGTTGTCTGACCGCGGTGAAGTTAGTTTGAAGTTGTATATCCGACAGACATTCAACGGTCATTCCCTCTCGGTACACCTCTCCTTCTCTCTGGGTTCAGAGCGACTCGAAAGCCGCTCCAACATTTTAGTGCACCCCTACTACACACAGTACGGTAAACACGTGGAGACATGTACGCTGGTGTAATATTTAC